GTGTGTGTGTGTGTGTGTGTGTGTGTGTGTGTGTGTTTGTGTGTCGCACTGCGATCGAAACCTCATGGTGATGGAGAATATCAAAGGGGAGTGTGAAACCCAGAGAGTATCCCTGGCTGACTCCACACACACACACACAGAGAGATAAAGTACAGTTCTGGCCGAACAAAGCTGCCTTTTGATGGGTAGCTGAATGCTCTCCCTCACACCAGTAATCTAAAACTCACACAGCTCTCATCGCGGCCTTCAAACCAGGTGCCAACTCTACGTGTAGTTACAGTACGGGTCGGATTTTTGTTCTCCTTCTCAGGAAGCAGTCGTATGTATCGTGTTCTTAAAGGATTGCTCGGACCTACTCCAGGTCTGTCTTGCAGGTTCTTAGATCCGTCCAATCAGATACTCTGTCTCTCTGTCCCTCTGGGCCCTACCTGAGCACTTTTGTAAACTATTAACGTACACAGCGGGACATTGTTCCTCAAAGGAGTAACCCACTAAAAAGGCCCTGATTGTAGCCTTAAGGAAGTCCCACAAGCTCCTTTGATAAACGCGGGCAACGCTACCCACTTTTCTGTCAGAAGCACCTGCATCAGACGAAAAGGAAAAACAAGTGTTGGCAATAAACTATCCAGGCGTAAAGAAGGTAATAAGCCAAGGACAGAGAAGACGTTTGTTGTGTTATGTTGAAAACATTGTAGCCGCTGTTAGCTCCCATCTGGTTACAGACATCCACAGTCCTTGGAAAAAGCAACAAGGTTGAACCTTTTTCAAAAAGGGAAATTCAAAATTTAAGAAACAGATTAATAACTGAAAATGTCACAAAAAGTATTCATCGTTTTGCGTCATATAAAACCACTGATCTCAATGATTATATATCATTGACGAACACAAAGTTTCAGTAAACAAAATGTAAAGTTGTTGCAGAAATGTGCTCCAGGTTCAGACAATTTACTGTAAAACCACAAAAAACATGTGCAAGTGGATAAATTCAGACGACAGCGATGAAGTTTCCCGGTGCAGGGGACGACCTTTCTCATCGCAGGGAGATGTTTAGTTGACCGTAGATGGCACTTATCGCACCGCGGTGCTATGGGTCGGTAGGAGTACAATTCAAACAGTCGGGGTTCAGCATGAGGACAATACCAGACAGATAAGTGTGGTTCTCGGGCTTGTACTGCTTTCACATCGTGGAAATAAACGGGAGCAGTAACTCAGAAGATGGTCAACTTTGAAATCCAGCGTAAAATTCTTTCAGTGCTTTTTTTTTTTCTTTTGTGCCGCACCCGGCCTAAATTAGTCTGAAGCCGTTTGGACATATTGCTTTTCTTGTAGCCCCCAGATTTTCCTTCAGGGATTTTTTAAATTTATTATTATTATTCAAATATGTAGAACTCTCCAGCAGCATTCCCTATCAGAGGACTGTCAACATACCACACCGCCCGCCTTCCCTCTGATACTATCTTCCTCGTCGCTGTCGCCGCTCCAAAGCCTGCGTCGGTGTTTCGGAGATCCTGCAGCTCCGAAGACATTTAGACAAGCGAGCCGAGCCATTTCCCGACGCTATCGTTCGAGTTTAGGTAAAACCTACTTGATAATCATAAACGACAGCTCAGGTTTATGGATTTTCAGTGTGAAAGCTGTCCAGATGGATTGAAGCATCTTCTAAAAATGTTGCCCATTTTCAGCATACAAGTCTTATAGAGGAACAGATGCACAACTCACACAGATTAATATGTAACCATTTGTTTGATCAGCACTTAAATCATTTATTAGCCAAATGGGGTCCTGACTTCATCACAAGTTAGTCATTAAAGATTAATAAATGAGAGAATTACTCCATTAAATCTTTCTGAAAGTTAAAAGAAGATGAATGGAGACTTAAGACTTAATTAGTAAGGCATTTAACACTGAGCTTTCCACTTGACGGAGACCTTTTGTTCAGACTGTTTCTTTTTTCTTACATAAGTTACATTTGATTTACATTCAGTGTTTATAGATATTTAAGATTCCCTTGCTGAATCCATAGAGCTGAATTTTGGTCTCTTTATGTGTTTTTTATTCTGGCGAACTCTAAATGGGATTTGAATGGGATGGGAGTACATATTCATGATCCTGAATGATTAATTGAAGATATCAGCATCTCCCCCGATCCGCTCCTCATTCCCGGCACTGTCCCCTCTTCCAGGTTTGGAGGACTACATGAGACGCTACGGGGAGGGAATAGCCAGGCTCCTGAACTCCTTCGGGCCCGTACCGGACTTCTTCGGAGAGCCAGCCAAGCGCGTCGTTAAGGTAACCAGGAGGAACCTTCGCTGACATTAGCTGAAAGTCAAGAAAAGACACATGATGCTCGTTTATAGAAACCTGAGTTTCAAACTCTACCAGAATTGACTTATTGACCTGTTTTTTCATTTGTAGTTATTTTGATGATGTTTTTGGCTCCGACTTAGTGAAAGCCAGTAGTTCCTGCTTGCATAGACATTTCCCTGACATTGACGACCTGGTTGATTGTCCACCGGTTGGCCCCAAGAGCCTCATAGCTCCTCTGTTGTCGTTAAACCGGTGTAGAAGAAACTCCAACAAGTCCGCCCAAGGCCGTGTCACCGTGTCACTGCCTGAAACTCCTCGTGTCTTTCCTCTCACTCGTTTCCTCTGCTGATGTCTCCAGGAGATGTCTGAGCTTATTCCCTGCGACCAGCAGCATCTGTCAGCCAGGAAGGAGAGGAGGGACCTGCTGCTCATGCATCTGGCTAAGCTAAAGAAGGACCACTGAGCTCAACGAGCGAAGGCCAGAATCAAATCGGACTGCTGAAATCAGGAAGTACCTTATTCCACTGTCAATCATGCGACTGATAGGATGAAATTTTGGAAGATTTTTGTAAAATTTCTCTGTAAACCATTTCTTGCGGTTAATCGTAATTGTCCAGCATTCGCTACGCTGACGTTATTTTTGTGAGCTTGCTTTAGTTTTCTCAAGTCTGCTTTGTAGATTTTTTTTGGTAACCTGGAAGATGAAAACAATCACACTCAATGTGAGGAAAAAAATCAAAAGAAAAATTGTGAGATGATGTTTTGATAAATAAAACTGAGAAATAATTCCAGAGTTGCTTCTATTATTGTACTTTTTTATTATTTCAAGAAGACCATTATTGTGCAGAGGTGATTTTTGTTTTCTTTCATCAATGTTTCCACCAACACAAAGCTGCATGGGACAGCAGGAAGTGACGGAAAACGCACCGTGGGCTTTGAGTGGATTTCCTGTTTTCAAATGATTTTCTCTGCTTCCATAAAACCTTTAGTGTCACTGAGATTTCTGAGCAGAGTGCAAACACCGGACGTTTCATGAATCATGGCTGAGAGAAAGCAGCAGAAAGGACTGATCATGACGGCAGGACTGTCACCATCACAAACTTTGCTGGACAATAAATTGTTCCAGAACTTATTGCGATAAATGGCAACATTGTTGTTTTGAGACCATTGTCAAGTGATAATGGCTTGATAATGCAAGAACATATTCTCATAGATTAATAAACTTTAAATTCTAATGAACATTTAAACACTGGGACTGGAAGACATTTAAGATATTCAAAAATAAATAAAGAAAACAACAGAAACAACAAATAAAATGAATTATGAAGTCTCTGTAAACAAAATTATCTTTCAAAAAACGGGATAATTGAGCTGAAAGAAGCAGATTAAGTGCTTCTTTCATTCAGTTTTTGGTAAAAAAAAAGAAAAAAAAGAAAAGAGAAAAGCAATAAATTGAGCAACTGAAAATTACCAGTTTCCTTTCATTTATCATGCAATTAATTGATTAATAGTTTATTGTGACAGGCCTGGTTCACAAAGATGTTTATCTGGATATCTGGTCTCTTAACACTCATCCGAGTCATTTAAAAAGCAAAGAGTCTAACTGAAAAGGCCAAACAAATTCAGATATAGAGAACACCAGCAGAATAAGATCTAAACATTGCGTTCCTGAATCTCTTTTGTATCTGTTTTACATATTCAGTCAGTTCGTCACAACAGGGTCAACGTTGAAGAAAGTGATAATAGTATGCTACATATATCATTTTTAATAACAACAAAAAAGAAAATTTACAAGGTTGAATTGCAGGAAGAACAGGAGAGAGAACAGGTGATGCAATGGAAAGATTCAGTGAAAACCAGTGAGAGGGGAATGAGGGGATGACGAAGGAGGCAGGTGGACTAATCAGAGGAGACGTGGCGGGGAGAAAGCACAGGAACAGGGAGAGGGATGAATTAAAACAAAGGAAGCTGACCTGAGACGGAAAGAAATGACAAACCAAGATGAAAACATTGACCCAACAGAACTAAATTCAAATCCTCAACAAGCAAAACACAAAAATAAACTAAGTAACCAAACCCAAAGGAAGGAGCTGATGCTGCAACATCACCGGAACAAAAATAAACACGGAGAAATGAACTGAATACGACAAGCCCTGACGAATATAAATAAACCAGGACACATGAAAACAAATGACCCAAACATCCAAGGCTCGAAGGAAAAAGTGGTCAGATGTAACACCATGTATTAACTAAACTAAAACTAATTTGACCTCAAGATTTAAACATTTTGAGGTTAAATGAAGCGTGTTGCCATCAGTTTGGACAGAAGATCCTGTATAGTGCACATGTACATTTACAGTTGTTTAAAGGCTCAGTAAGACACTTTTGGGAAACCTGATGCCATTAGCAGTAACACAAGCAAAAATATTTAATATTGAACATTGCTGAAGTGTCTAAAAGAGTTAGACAAAAGAATAAAGTTGTATTTAATTTAATTAGCCTACAAATATATTAACGCAGTTAAATGATGAGGAAGTGGAGCTGTTCCTATCAGTCATTAATCTCTTGGACCCTCAGATGTGTCTGACGCCACGCTGAGCCCCGGCCTGGCCCCTCCCTCTCTCCCTAATCCCTCCCTCCCCAAATCCCTCCCTCCCTCTCTGTCGACAGGAGGGGAAGGATGATGGAAAGCCTCCGCAGACTCAGGTGCGCCTCAGTCAACGCTGCGCAAAGACGCTCGTCCGCAAACGCTCTTCATTCTTGCCGCGCCGCGCAGGACATTAGGACCAACTACTTCTCCTTCTTCATGGGAAAAACCTTCATCTTAATTTATAGGACAAACAGGAAAAAGGTAAGTGTGGGGAACCCTGGTTGGACCCCCCCACACACACACACACACACATTTTTAATAGTTTTGATCATTTTTAATCGACATTTTATTGATTGAGAAGTTAGTATTTGGTAGGATTCTGTTCTAAAATACAAAATAACATTACAATACAAAGTTAATGTAAATCTCGTTAAATAGTGTTCTTTTGGTCAACTAATTTTGAGTGTAATATTGCTTTTTGGTGTTTTTTTTTTATATAACCATGCTTTAAGCCTTTTATTCCTTCTGACTTAATAGAGTTGTAGAAAGTTAGGCTTTATTACAGACTCGCAGTTTCAAATGATATAAGTAAATTAATAATAGTAATAATAAAGGAGGTAGGAGGACATAAAATACATAAAAAGATTCCTAATCTTTTAGGAGGCAGACCAATGTTTTCAGCAGTACAGACATATATGTCTTACTGCACAATATAACGTTGGTCATCAATACTCTGAAAATAGGTTAATGCATAAGATTTCTTAAAGAGCCAGAAGACATGAACTGGTCCATGTGGGACTTTTTAACAAAAATGCGTCATTATAAGCCACTTTCAATGTCTGAAGTCACCATATGTGTGTCAGTGTGGTCCAACATGATGTAAACGAGCTCTGCTTAACTTTATCTGAACAATATCCAGATTTCAAAGCTGACACATTAGCTGAAGGTCCTAACATTTGAACCTGACGATAAATATCGTTATCGTCTTATACACGGCCATGTAATACGTGAGGTAATAAGCTTTTATATTTTTGATAATAGTGCAATTTTGTTCTTATAAATATAAAACAATATTGAAATAAAACTTCTTTTTGAAATAAAGAGGATCTTTGTAAGTGGTTAAATGGCCTCCTTGCCATTTTTATGAGTTAACCGGGATGTCTCAACGTTTCAGAGTCTTGTATGGTTGTTAAAGCTAACTGTCGTCAAACTAATAACTTAGCTTTGTCATATAGAGACGTTACTTCTCTGAAGTTGTGACAATTTGACTTTAAAATACACCATTCCTACGTGTCCAAAAGCCTGCTTAAGGCCATCTTTTTCTTCACTGATGAAGATAGTGGTGTTTTTTATGTACCCAGTCGTCAGAGACATCAGGACAGGTTCAGTTTACTCAGCTGATACCTTCTTTTGACCCCTACAGGAGCTTCCGCGGACCTCGTCACCACAATGAGTTGGGGGGCCCTCTACGCCCAGCTGGGTGGCGTCAACAAGCACTCCACCAGCCTCGGGAAGATCTGGCTCTCCGTCCTCTTCATCTTCCGCATCACCATCCTGGTCCTGGCCGCCGAGAGCGTTTGGGGCGACGAGCAGTCAGACTTCACATGCAACACGCAGCAGCCCGGTTGCAAGAACGTGTGCTACGACCACTTCTTCCCCGTCTCGCACATCCGCATGTGGTGCCTGCAGCTCATCTTTGTCTCCACGCCGGCTCTGCTCGTCGCCATGCACGTCGCGTACAGGAAGCGCGGCGACAAGAGGACCATTCTGGCCTCCAACGGCACCGAAAACTGCGACCTGGAGACCCTGAAAAAGAGGCGTCTGCCCATCACGGGCCCTCTTTGGTGGACCTACACCTGCAGCCTGTTCTTCCGCCTCATCTTTGAGGGGGGCTTCATGTACGCTCTGTACTTCGTCTACGACGGCTTCCAGATGCCGCGGCTCGTCAAGTGTGAGCAGTGGCCCTGCCCCAACAAGGTGGACTGCTTCATCTCCCGACCGACGGAGAAGACGGTCTTCACCATCTTCATGGTGGCCTCTTCGGCCATCTGCATGGTGCTGAACGTGGCCGAGCTGTTCTACCTCATCTCCAAGGCGCTCCTGAGGTGCATGGACCGGTCGAGCAAGAGGAAACACCCCTACGCCGAGAGCGCGTCGAGGGACAACAAGAAGAACGAGAGGCTGCTGTTGTCGTCCTCCACGGATTCGTCCAGCAACAAGACCGTGTGCTGAAGAGCGACGAGAGGGATGGACTTTTGGTCCCATCTGTGGACCTCCATTAGAGCCGTCTAGTGCAGGGGTGGGCAACTCCAGGCCTCGAGGGCCGGTCTCCTGCAACTTTTAGATGTGTCTCTACTTCAACACACCTGAGTCAATGAGGTCATTAGCAGAAAAAATAAAAAGAAGCGAAATCCCTCGTTCGTCAAACATTCATATATTACATCCATTATTCGGTTGATTGATGTCCAGCAGCAGGTTCTTTTTGTCCTCCAAACGCTGCACTTTGGAGATGATTCAGCAATTTGATTCAGCTGTGTTGGACCAGGGAGACATCCAATGAGTTGCAGGTCACCGGCCCTAGAGGACCAGGATTGTCCACCCCTGGTCAAGTGGGAGACAGAGTCTGTTTTCCTGTGGGAAAGTTTTAGTTCTGCGTCTTAACCTGCAGCAGAACTCGGTGGTGTATTTTCACGTGTGGCCTTAAATTTTCCACTCATGCACTGTTTTTCCTTTTTAGTTTAGTTTGAGTTCTACCTAGCCACTTACCTAGCAAGCTCACTAACAATCAAAGCAGTTTAACAAACATTAGTTTACAATTTTGAAGAGTTGCTTTAAAGCCAGAAGGACTTCTTGCTCTTAATCTCAAAGGCATATTTGACTTGACATAAAATGTGTAATAATTCCTTGTTTTATAACAATGTTTTGGCTAGAAGAACCAGCATGAAGCTGCTCATGAGAAGCAAAATATCAATTTGTTCTCACGGAAAACCCCAGCAGATTGCAAAATGCCAAGCGATACCTTGATTATTATTGTTTTTACACGAGAGATATATGAAGCTGTAACAAAAGCTCAAGTTTATTGCTATGGAGGAGAATGAGCCTACACTGACATCTCGTGGTGAACAATGAGAAGAGGCGAGAACTAAATTAAAGGGATTTCTATTTTTCACGGCAATTGATCAAAGGCGGATTGGTGAAAAATGTAGCTGTGTTGACTAAATCGTCTTTTCACGTTTACGTTTTCTGTGTGTGAGAATTTAACTGAGAAGAATGCAGGAGTCCCACTTTATTAAGAGACTAAAATCAATCAAATGTTTTTGTTGTTTTGTTTTATGGGGGGGGGGGGGAGATTGTGACCAAATACAAGACAAAATCAGACAGCGTTTTCCTTTTAAAAAAACATGAAATATAAAAAAAGGTGCAATAATACAGGGAGCGTTTTAAGTTATCAGTCTGGTATTCAATCAAATGTTAATAGTGAAAGTGTGAAAAGTCTCTCTGGACGCCGCATACAGAATAGAGCCGTCATGTTTCCAATTTAATAAACCAAATTCATCTTTTAGCTTTTGCCTGATTATAATGTTCTTAAACTTTTAGATTTTTTTCTTCTTCTCCAGTTTTTTTGGACGGCGTCTTACAAAACAGCTCATTCCACTTGAACTCCTCACGTCTTGTCATACAACCACAAACGTCAATGTTTTTTTACTGGACTTTTATACCAAAGCGGTGAACACATTTTGTGGCCGTGAACATCAATTTTCATATCTTTTTCTAAATTATGATTTGGCTTTCGTGGACTTTGACTGGGCCATTTCAAACACATGAAAATGTATGCTTCTTAAATGAGTTTGTGTTGTAGTCTCAAGTTTTAATTGATTTCTTTCCACTATTTCTTTCCACTATTACCTAAACCCACAGCATGATACTGCCACCACCATGCTTCACAGCTGACCGGTTTGTGGTCGTAATGTGACAAACTGTGTGAGAATTTAAGCGGTGTGAATACTTTTGCAAAGTTTGCACAGATGAATAGTGTTTTCAGAAATATGTACAGTTAAATCCTAAATTACCCGTAACCCTGGTAGATTTAGATTCAAAATAATCTGATCATTTTTTCAAATATGATTCTACTGACTTCTGACGCCATTTTAATGTTTGGGGGACCTTAAGATGAGGGTGATGGTAAGGAGGACATCCAAACTCAAAGACTTGGAGTTTATTGAAGATCAAGCAACAAAATAACATGCAAAAAGTTGGCTGGCGATTAAATATTTTTCCATCGATCACTGAGATTATTTTAATAAAATACAACTAGAAGACTGCTTTTCATTAAACGGATCCTCCTTATCTGTTGTGTCATTTCTTGTCACAAACAAATCTCTTGGATGAATGGAAACAATTTGAAATCTAAATCTTCCAGAAGTACGAATTATTTTGATGGGCTGAGCTGCATCTCTGCTGACATTCAGACGAAATTAAATAGAGAATCAAAGAAGTATGTAAACTATGTATCAATGTGAGTTTTGGCTCTTTGTAATGTTTGGTTTGCCTAAGTTCAACGCTTTTTCTGAATGGAAATATGCCGACAAATGTTGCCAACTGGATCCATGTTTCGCTTTTATCCACAGCTTCAGTTGCTTCTTGTATTCACCTCATGTACCGACGCCGCCCTGAATCCATCAGCCTTCAGCGTGCGTCTTACTTTAGCCGCCTCTCCGATCACAACTCGGCCTCCCGACTGAGACAAATCTCAAATCCAAACAGGGCTGCGTCCGTCCAGGAATAGACGTCACGGATTAGTCACATCTGTCTGTCGAAACAGGCACCCAGCCGGTGACTCTGTGATTGCGCAATGACCGCTAAGTGAGATGAGCCGGCGCCAATTAGATGTGTAAATTCCCCTGTTATAGAAAGTAAAGCCGGGTGAGACGCTCAGCGTGGTTCGGTTGCGTAACAGCTCTTGCTGATGCAGTTGTTTGGTGTTTGGAGCGACCCGCACAGTGTTGCACTCTGGGGAACTTAGAGTTGTTAAAAAAAAAAAAAAAGAAAAAAAAATGAATTGTAAACCCTCTCTAAAATGACCTTTGACCTCCTGATGTAATTCCCCTCCCCCCCTATTATCCCCATATCACTGCAGACTTTAAAACTAACTTTGCTTCCACAGTAATGTAATAGTTTGATTCTAACAGCTATGCAACGCTAACAGAGAGAAATGAACCAATGAGACGCTTCAGATTGTGATTTTTGAATGAGATGTCTTGTACACTTGCACTTTGATCCTTCAACTTGTTGTTCCCTTTGAGAAATTTTTTATAAATTAGTGAAAACACAACTGCTTGACTCTTTTTTCTTTTTCTTTTGCTCATTTGTTTGCTGGTGGAGAAGATCAGATATTATCATTTCGAGGTATTGAGTTTTCTGAAAAAAGGAAGTTGAGGGTGGAGCATTAGTTTTAGGGTACTTCGTGACCTCTTCCTGTGTGGTTTGTCGTTTATGTATTCACTTTTGTAGTGGAGAATATGCTCTCATTACACAAGGTGTTCTGAAAGCCGTGGTTGGGGGGTCACACTTTGACTAAATGCCACATCACAATGTTTATCTTGTGCATTGAAACGTCGGCTCAGATTTTCTTTAATTTTGGGAGATCTACTGATTGACAAGAAACCCATGTTCTCCACCGATGCAAAGATGTCTACCTCTGCAAAAGCCTCAAAATCAGCCACTCTTCTCTTTTGCTCTGCCATAAGAGAGACCTTTCTGACAGACAGGTCATGCCTCCATGTGCGTGGTTAACAATTATCGTCCCGGTGTTGCCAACTTAGCAACTCTGTTGCTTTATTTAGCAAATGTTTTCAAACAAAAAAAAAAGAAAAAAATTGTCATTGGTCAAAGTTGGAACAAGCAGGCGATCGGCCAGAAAACTGCAATCGGTGCATTCCTTGATCTTACGTTAGTTTTTAAATGCAGTAGAAAAGATAACTTTTTCATTAAAACACATCAATATCATGAGGTCAAGTAAGATCACGACATGCATCTCTGCATTCCTCTTACCATTGCAGTAATCCCAAAGCAGTTTTTTAAAAAATTGGTTTCATTTGGAAATACTTTAAATGTAAATATTGGTCCTTTTTTTTTTTCTTTTTGCCTGCAGATTTATTTTTGGGTGGAGGGTGAGGGTGGGGTGGGGGGCTGACACGGGGCGTGGTGTGATTCTGGACAGGCAGATGACTCCGTGGACTCACTCATGCGTGATCACACAGTGTGACCGCCCAGACATGGGTGGAAAAGGGTCCCAGCTCCGTTTAACCGAGCAACATCTGCGTCACCAGGCCGATGCTCCATAAACTGACAACAGAGGGCAACGTTTTCCTCTTATTATTAGTGTTACCAGAAACTATTTATAGCCCCAGGACAGACCAGGGAGCTGGAAAAGTTAGTCCGTAAGGGTTTTTCTTTTCTTTTTGCGGCCACACTTAAAACAAACAAAAAAAAAAAGAGCTGATGAAATTATCAGAGAAGTAAGTCTTCGAGGAGCCTCCCAGCAGGAGGTCTCAAGGCTTTTCCGACCATGCCACCGCTGACGGGCTGATGGATTTCATCTTCCTGTGTGACTTTGACATCTTCAAAGGTATGACGGACAAACGCTGAAGCGACCCGAAACTTTCCCTCCTTCTGGTCGTCAGGAGGGAGTTAATGAAGAAATCTGAAGGTAATTAAGACCAGCTCTGGGGTTTTACTGAACAACAGAGGGACAAAAAGCCTGACAAAGCTTGTGGCGCTTAAAGGGAGTCTGGGCACTCTGGCACACTCTGCATTGTGAGTCTGGCACGCATGGCTTTGTATTTGAACCTGACTCTGTTCGGCTGCTGGGCCTAAATGCCGCCAAACTTTGCTGAATTTGAGGTTTTGCCACAGAAAAGTGGAAAGGAAAACTTTCTGACTCGGTGAGGGTCACCTCTGTGGGATTCCTTTATGTCTTGCAAAGTTTACAGCAGGTAACAAGCAGAGTGTCTCTGGTGACCATCCATTTCCTGTTTCTTGGTGTTATTTTGTACTCAAAAGAGTTCGACTGCAGTGCGAGTTCAGCTTTATGTTGCAAAAACTCAGTCATTTGATGTTCGACCATTGCTTTTCTCTTCTAGGTGTCAAACGGGTTGTGAACCTTAGTCGATGGATTTGTCACCTTTAATTCAAGAGTTTTTCAGTAAGTGTTTTCTCTAAAAATTTAGTTTTGATTCAAATTTTGGGCCATTACGCGTTCGTTTCAAGCTGCTGGCAAAAACGCGGGTTGGAATACACAGTTTTAAAAGCCACTGGAAATAGTTGATTTAAGGTTTAAGGCAATGACTGATATAGCTGCCGGCCGTTGAAAATGAATGGATTAAAATCGACTTTTCTGTTTATTCACCAGAAAAATTTGAATTCATCAATTTTGGACCCTGAAAATAGTAATTGGAGACAATTTCAACATTTTCAACTAAAATGCTATTTAAGATATACTTATATGTCATTTTAAATTTCTGTTTTGAAGTTTTAATAACATGTTAAAACTTGTTATTAAAACAAGTTTTAATAACAATATTCTTATGTCAAAAATACAGTAACAGATTTTTTTTTTTCATGGTTCAGGCAGTTTTTTTGTGTGTTACACCAGACAGAGACCGGGGTGAGGGGAGGGAGGGATGTGTGAATGTGTGTGTGTGTGTGTGTGTGTGTGTGTGTGTGTGTGTGTGTGTGTGTGTGTGTGTGTGTGTGTGTGTGTGTGTGTCCACGTTGTGGCATCCCAGAGCCCCATCTCTGCTAAATGCTGTTTTCGAACATAATAATGTCGATCTCAGCACATGCCTGGTGGGCAGCGGAGCGAGCAGGTGGGAGACAGAGACAGGGCCTGACACCGACACAGAGAGAAAAGCCAACAAACTGGGCTTCAATCACACAGGTGGCTTGTACAGTACAGCAGCATCTGTATTGAAAGGCTGCAGCTTTGTGTCCAGATCCTCTTCTGATAGGTATTCAGTGGTATAGACGGTTTTATGCCAACAGTTGTTGCATGTGTCTATGTACAGTGTCTCAGTTCAGGGTAAGAACCTTCGTCCCTTGAAGCTGTTTCAAGAGTCATTGGTTGTTTGTTTCTCTTGACATAATCTCTTCCTCTGTCCTCTTGTGTTTTTTTTGCCCCCCTCCACTCCAGCCTGTACTTTCTCCGTAGGCTAGAAACGTGGAAGGATGGGCGACTGGAGTTTTCTGGGGCGGCTGCTGGAGAATGCTCAGGAGCACTCAACAGTCATCGGCAAAGTCTGGCTGACCGTCCTCTTCATCTTCAGGATCCTGGTGCTCGGCGCCGCGGCCGAAGAGGTCTGGGGCGACGAGCAGTCCGACTTCACCTGCAACACCCAGCAGCCCGGCTGCGAGAACGTCTGCTACGACGAGGCCTTCCCCATCTCGCACATCCGCTTCTGGGTGCTGCAGATTATCTTCGTGTCCACGCCGACCCTCATCTACCTGGGCCACGTGCTGCACATCATTCGCATGGAGGAGAAGCGGAAGGAGAAGGAGGAGGAGATGCGCAAAGCGAACAGGTTCCAAGAGGAGAAGGAACTCCTATACAGAAACGGCGGCGACGCCGGAGGCGGCGGGAAGAAGGAGAAGCCGCCCATCAGAGATGAGCACGGCAAAATCCGCATCAGAGGTGCGCTCCTGCGCACCTACGTGTTCAATATTATTTTCAAGACCCTGTTTGAAGTGGGTTTCATTTTGGGCCAGTATTTCCTGTATGGCTTCCAGCTGAGGCCCCTGTACAAATGTGCACGTTGGCCGTGCCCCAACACTGTTGACTGTTTCATATCAAGGCCCACTGAAAAGACCATTTTTATTATATTTATGCTTGTGGTGGCTTGCGTGTCTCTTTTGCTGAATTTGTTAGAGATCTATCACCTCGGATGGAAGAAACTCAAGCAAGGCATGACGAACGAGTTCGCCCCTGACAGCGAGTCGCTGCAGCGCGCCGACGCCGCAGAGCCTCAGTGTTTGGCCTCGGCCTCCAGAACTGTCCCATCCAGCCTCAGCTACCCTCCCAACTACGTAGACGTGACGGCGTTCCTGCCACCTGGAAAGCCGGCAGCAATGGCTTCAGCAGCCGAGTTCAAGATGGGTGACCTCCAGCAGGACGAGTCCCTTCAGCAATCTTCTTCCCCTTCTCGGTACTACATCAGCAACAACCACAGGCTGGCCACGCAGCAGAACTGGGCCAACCTGGCCACCGAGCAGCAGACTCGGGAGATGGGTTCCCCTTCGCCATCCTTGTCTTCTTCTGCCAACAATGAGAACAAACAGCAGCAGACGCCGGCTGGTGCTGCGCCGCTTCTTCCCAGCAACAACACCAACAGCAACGCCAACACCACCAACAACGCCGCCTCAGGCAGCACCGGCGGCAGCAGCCCGGCCACCAACAGAGGCGGCGGAGGAGGCGACGACACGCAGGAGGAGGTCTGCCGCACCATCACGACAGTGGAGATGCACGAGCCTCCGCTCATGGCCAGCACAGACCCTCGACGGCTCAGCCGGGCGAGCAAGAGCAGCAACGTCAGGGCCAGGCCAAGCGACCTGGCTGTCTAGAAGCGCTTTGGCCCTTTACGGTCCCCCAACCCCTCCGACAGCACCTCTGGCTTCCCTCTACCATGCCCTCAAACACTGTGATTTTTAAACACGCCAGGAAAGCAATACATACTTGCTTTAGGTAGGAACAAAATCTAAGAAAAATACAAAAAGACAAAGTAAAAAGAGGCAGGAAATCAAATCAGCATAAAATGTAGCTGCTAGTTTGGAATCACTCCCCCAGACAGAAGGGTCCGACTTCACCGTCTCTCCCTGCCCCCACCAATCTAAGTCCTTTTCTGGCTTTCAAATATTTGATCTTATGGCCTAACACAAACATATCAATTGTCAACCTTAAATCCAAACTAAATGTACTAGTCATTAGCTGTAACAGACAGGTTTTCATTTGTAAGTGTGGCAGCTGCCACCATGTGAGAACCGGGAAGGGTTTCAGGCTCTGGGGACTCAGGGTGGTGTTGAGAGTCTTGGGTCAAATACTATCACCCCCAGCTGCAGCCTCTTAGTGCAGTCGGTGAGTTGTCGAGCTGCAGGACTGTGCACAAAAAAGTGTGATCACACCTTTTAACAAAAAGCAGAAGGTAAAACTCTCTGTGGTTCATTTTAGCAACCTGGTTCGGTGGAAGACTTGATGTTTCACTCTTATTTGTCGGCACAAACTGACATTTTCCTCATGTCTGTGTCAAGATAATGAGATTCTTATGTTAAATACCACTATGTCCATGACATCTCCACCTGGTTATTAGCTTGGCTATCTGTTCAGGTAGCAAGCCTATCCGGTCAGCCGCTTTAGATTTGCCACTTGTCGTTTTAGAACTGAACTGCCTTCATAAGAGGGATTGCTGGTGCTGTTTCAGTTTCCAATACCATGATACTTTTCTGTAAGTGAGGGAAACGTGACGTGGCTTTGTCTTGGCCAGCTGCCCGGCAGTGCGCAGCAACAAGTGGGAGAGAAAGCACCGGTCACTTTGGCACTTTCTCTGAGATTTTATTAAGATGATTGAAATGGTAGGAGTGGCATAACAGAACAATTTATTGCTTTAGAAAACTTAAAAGCCTTAGTATTCCTTGATACGGCCTAATAGAGAATGAAAATTTGCATTTCAGCTGCAGGAAGCACCATTGATGTTCTACAAAAATGTCAGTGCTCTATGTTATGATATGTTATTGCAATTTATGTTAGCTTACTTATTGCTCACTGTGAGGGTTTACTAAAGACTCTGAAATCAATGTCACATCAAAAGGTTGTAGAAGAAGAACAAGAAGTGACAACATAATTGTTTTCAAGACAGATCATTGCAGAAAGTGTAGTTCTTCAACTCACCGATGCACCGGCACATTAACCTAGTTTGACCCTAAATCCACTATGTGTCTTTTTTGCCAATATTTTACAAAATTGATAAATCAGGATGAAGGAAAAAAAAAACAAAAACAATGCAGGTCAAAATGAACCAAGTGATTCCCATAATTGACCTTGTCCTCTCAGAGGAAAATGGTTACCTGCCTCTGCTTTCAACCAACATAAGTCAAATCATATTGCACATAGTTACTGCATGCCAAAAACATTTAAAATATAAAGCAAAAAATACACCAGCCAACATAATGTTCAAAATATAGCATCCCAGAGGGTTTTGGTTAAGGATTTGTAACAACTATTTTGTAGTTGCCCACAGCTACCCACAGCTACCTTTTTAATCACATCTGAACAATGATAGCAACCTGGGAAGCTTCATTATTTTTTATTGTTACACACTCCATGTGCTTCTTCATTGGTTTTATTCTGAAAAGTGCTATTTTTTTAAGAAACTGAGTTGAATTTTACTCACACGCCCCATCCCTGTAGCAGTCAGTTTTTGACTGAGCAGCAACTCAGATTAAAAAGAAAAAAACAAAAACAGCTGTTGTGCGTTTTTGAAACGCTGTTGTGCAGTACCCCCCACTAATGCTTTTCATTTCTCCCGTGCTCGTCGCGATACTTAAAGTTAGTGAAAGACTCCTTCAGAGAACCTGGGAAGTGATCTCATCACTCATCAACCAACCGCCACGCTTCTGTATACATGGTGTGTCACTGTCCTGTTCGGTTGTCCATGCTGCAAGCATTTTCATTTTACATTAACCTAAATCTACTGTATATTGTCCTCACCAGGGCACCTGAGTGAAAACCTACCTGACATGTTATTGAGCATAACACCACAATGAAGGACTAGAGGGACAGTTTAGGATTTTAAAGTGAAGTTCTGCTACAGGCTTTTAAGCAGTTAATATCTTACTTGTAATAGATTAGTCTCAAGGGACCCTCGTTGGTATAAATCCACAGTAACTAACCCTGGAGACAGAAGCTAGTAGCTAGCGTCAGCCTCAGTGGAAGAAGCTATTTAGGCTGAAGCTAGCAACTAGCTAATCCAAAAAGACCAACTCCCCAGTCTTCTACCATTTTAAAAATCCTAATATCTCACAATGGCATTATTTGAGATTTCAGAGAAATCTCAAAATTTAGAATTTTAAAGTGAAGTTCTGCTAAAGGTACATAAGCAGTTAACTTACTTGCAATAGATAAGTCTCAAGGCATCTTCATTAGTGTACATCCACATTAGCCAGCTCTGGAGACAAAAGCTAGTAGCTCGCTTCTTCCTCAGTGGCAGAAGCTAGTGGCTAGCTTTAGCATCTGAGACTGAAGCTAGCAGTTAGCTAATCCAAAAAGACCAACTCCCCAGTCTTCTACCATTTTAAAAATCCTAATATCTCGAAATGGCGATCTGTGAGATTTCAGAGAAATTTCAAAGATTTTAAAATGAAATTCTGCTAAAGGCATATAAAGTTAATAACGTATTTGCAATAGATGAGTCTTGAGGCATCATCAGCGTAAATCCACAGTAAATAGCCCTGGAGACAGAAGCTAGAAGCTAGCGTCAGCCTGAGTGGGAAGAAGCTAGCAGCTAGCTAATCCAAAAAGTTCCCAGTCTTCTACCATCTTATAAATGCTCAAATCGCGAAACAGCATGAACGCTGTTTTACCAACCTTAAAACTGTTCCTATTAGCAGTCAATGGCTATTTAAACTGCTGGGGGGTTTACACTTGAGATGGAGGTCAGAGCTGATACGCCACCAGTGGCGTTCCAATGTGAGATGTGTACAGTGAATTAAGCACAGTTTCATAGCAAAATGTAAATAATACAAAAGTTAAGCACTACAAAAAGGACAAAAAAAGCACTGGCTTAAACTGCTACAAACACCTGAGATCTTCCAGGGTTAGTTCGTATTTTGAACATGAAGTTCACTGGTGGCGCAGTGCCAACGACTTCCATTTCACATGTTGATATTGCAGGATGTGAAAATGGTTTCATTCTTCATAAAACTTATGTTTTATGACGCTAGTGGTTTATGGAACCACCGACACATTTGACGTCAGAGTTGTTTTAATGCAATGGACATTACAGTTTGGTCTCATCCCACATTAGACTAGACACAACCTTCAGGACCAACTCAAACGAAGAGACTTAGTGGGTTATCTGCTGCTGTAGTTAGTCATGTAACAGAACTTCACTTCAAAAATATGAAAGTCCTTCCTTTAATACTACTTTATGTAGGCAGTATTTCACATGTTGTCTGCACTGCCAGCAGCTACGGTGAGAGACTGGAGTAGGAACAGGGTAAAGGAGGACATTTTTCACTTTTCGGCAAAGTAGAGACGCTACAAAATCATGTTACTGTATAATCCTAACATAGTATACCTTATTTATAGGTATAAGGACAGGTGTAAAACTATGCAAGGATAAAACACAAAGCTAAAACCAGCCTTTGTAACTTCAATTAAAAAATGAAAAAAAGCACCAGAGAGATTTGCTTTTTTGCTATTATCATTATTTATGATTTTTAACATTTACATTTTGGTCGGTACTTGCACATGTAGGAAGTAAAGGTGCTCCTCTACAGTAGCAGAGCTAACAGTATTAACAGGCAGAGAGACGTAATGTGACGCAAGGCTGCTAGAGACAGGGTGAAAAGTCTTAAGAACCACAACTGTTCACAGACATAGGAATATTACCAAAAGGCTCATTCGTCTCGCGCACTGACAGCACAGTGTCCGGACATTGGGAAAAGGAGAGAAATCAGCTGGAATATTTTTGTGTTTGTTTAGTTAATGTGTTCCCACAGACGTGCTGGGACTCTGGTCAGACGTCACACGTCGAGGCAGCCCTGCTCGTTCAGAGAGAACGGGGTGGCTGACCCTTCCCCAACCCCGCCACCCTGACAGGATGTTGGGTTCAAAGAGCGTTGTCCCCGTGACTCCTGGGAGCTCTCTTTCCACTAACAGTATTTATTTATTTATTTTTTTTTCCATTTATCGTTTACGTGCGGAGCACAACGTCTCCGGCCCATCGGGGAGAAGGAACCATCTCACGACGCTCACAGCAGCAATCTGTTTTCAAACGCTGTCTTAAAACAAGAGAAGTGCCTTGTGTATGAATGATGCTCTTTGTAAGGACAAGTTGATGTAAATGTTAATTTACCTCAAGTGTTTACAAAAAAAAAAAAAAACTGTTACTAAATAAATTTTTTTGTACCATGCATGCCGTTCTGGCTTTGTCTTTTGCTTCACGCAAAGAATGAAATTCAACATTCGCAGAAACACGAAGCTGCGGAAGCGACTCGAGTTTGAAATCCGAGTGATAACTAGTATTCCAGAGTTTGATCTACATTCACAAAAATAAATAGATTGGACTAAATCAAACAGAGGATGCGTAAGGTAGGAGAGGAGACATTAACATTGCTGCCTTTTGGTGGGAACATTAGTTTGGAACATTTCCTTTTGTAGTTTGTTGGGTTTCCTGTTCCTGTCCTGGTTTCCTCCTGCAGCATAAAATCATGCAACTTGGGTTAAAGGGAAAAAATAAAGTGAGTTAAACAATGATCTGCTCCAACCAGCACATATTAAACCCCAAATTTCAAACAATTACCAGTTTCACTGCAGTCAACATGCATCTCACCTGAATTTAATCATGTAGGAAGAACAAAGATGATCATGTGTTTTTTATTATTATTATTATTTTCAGATATGTGAAACCTCAGAACTTAAACACAATGAACGTCAATTAATCATGTTGGAGCATCATGAACAACCTCACTTTGAAAATTTCTGTGACTCCCTACAAAATGGATTTAATTTAATATGAAACTCATCATTACAGAAAAGAAATATTTAAAATAACCAAAAAAACAAAAAAAACAAATCTTGTTCACATGTTCTGTAAAAAGGAGTTTAAAAAAAAAACATTTTTGACATCATTTCCTCTAAATGCCAGTTTGACAGAAAAAACTAATTTAATAGACAGAAATAAAAACAACAAAAAAAAACATATACATGGTTATCAATGTTTTAAGATAAAAACTGAACAGAAAAATTTAGAGAATAGAGAGAAGAATTTATTTATTTATTTTACTTCTCTGTTACCAGGCAGAACGGCCTTTACTTGTCACTGGACGGTTCAGCGTCTCCCTGGAGGAGCAAGAGGAAGCAACTGGGGAAGGGAAGCATTTGTCCCCCACTGTGGCGACCAAACTGCAAAAAAAAGAAAAGGAAAAAAAAAATTAACTGCACTTTATTTGGCCTAGATGCTGAAGACATCAAAAGAAAAGTCGCTAGGTTTTTTTTTTTTTTTTTTTCCTGTCCTTCTGACTTCCTGTTAGTTTTTCCTTAACCTCTCACCTTCGTTCCTCCCTCCACATTCCGACCAGGATTGAACCAAGTCCGGCTCGTTTTATAACAACGACCACTGACGATTAAAATGCGACGAGTGTGTCAGTCTCACACCTGAGAGCCGGGCTTCTAACACGGCTACGCGAGAAAAAAGGATTTACAACTCTGCTCAAGACCTGGCAGAGATGGGTGAAACTCACACTTTATCACCTTAATGGCGACATGAGGTACAAGGTAGAAATCAGCTGGACATGGTAGCTGCAGAAAACCACCAGTAAGTGTTCAAAACTTATTTAAAAAAGTACCAGAGCACAATGTGATTCCCCCCCAACAACAAGCCTGAGGCAGAAAGCAGGACTTCACTGTGCACAGCTGAACAAACAGCAGAAAACAATGTCAAGCTTTTTTTTTCCAGGCAAAAGAAAGCCAGGGATCGTCTGCTGAGCGCTTGAGGTGACATGGACTGGGGGATGAAGGAAGGAAGACCCAAACATAGGACGCTGGGGAAACAAAACAAAACAAAAAAATAGAACCTCCCCCCCAGTAAAACAACTAATCTTCAATCTTCACTGCAGAGTGAGGAATTGATGAAAAGTAACTTATAAAGTGGATTAGTTATATTTGCTGGTGTGATCATTTCAGAAAGTATTGATCTACAGGGATTTTTCTGGTGAAACCCTCTGAAAAGAGTCTGGACTTTAGAAAGTGCTTGTAAGGGCAGTAGCCCAGGGCTCCAAGTTTTAGGGGCGTCCCCAATACTTAGAATGCTTTTGTAATCAATCCATGTTCACCATTGGACCTTATACAAAAATCTCAGGTTCATATGAAGTTTGTTGTTTTCGTATTGTTACATTTTTATTCATGCACACATTAATACATTATGTTTGGCACCAACATGGAGCCGCGTTTTAAAGGGGCGGTGTTATCTGGAGCTTCTTTTCTTTCTTTTCTCGTTTTCCTTTGTTATTTGGATTTTTGACATCAAATAAAATGCAATACTGTGATACTTTTGCAATCAGATGGCCTTTCTGATAGATATTTTACAACTGACCAGTCCAACTAAATTAGAACGTAATTGAATTGCTGTATACGTGGTTGTATTTGAATCTGGACCCAAACATGTTGGGTTGCATTGAAATGAGGCTGAGGAGATAATTTTACACTGTCAGGATAATGGGATGCTAACATCTATCCATTCGCATGCACTTCTGCGCTTCCATGGATTTAACATGTACAAAGCAATAGCAAAGCAATTATTGTTGTAGTATCGCTTAATGAAATTTGAAGTGGTTGAGTTACTTTAACCAAGCAGCCAGATTATATGGAACCAGCTTCGTAATACAGACTGCTGGTAAGAAAGACTAGATCATGTGTTAACATACAAAAACTTTGACGTGTCCCCACATCATGATGCTGCCGCCACCACATTTCCTTCTTGTGAAAGTTGCAGTTGATCTGACGTGCAAAGTTCAACGAACAAATGTTTTCTATTTTACGTTCAAGTCGCTTCTTACAGAAGGGCAGTTTTCACATTTCGATCATCAAGAATAAAATCAGCAGACCCCCCCCCCCTACTGGTCAAAGCTGGGAAAGCATCACATGATGGCTGCGCTGCATCAAACTGCCTTCAATGAAGAAAATATTTAATAAAATCAACATACGTTGCAGCGTGTAGAGAGGGAGGAAAAATAAAAAAAAGACGTCCACTGCCAGCAGCTGTGACATTTGTCCATTTTGGTCCCAGTAAAGCCCCTCTTAGGCCAGTGATGGAAAAGAGAAAGCAAACGTCTGCCACCGGCTCGGCGGCCTGCGGCCCTCAGCGGACAGGAGGCTAAATTTAGCCTTTAATCACCCAACAAATTCACACTCAGTCCACACCACAAATACCTCAGGCCCTCTTTATGTATTTCAGGAGTGTGATGAATTTGTTTCTTGGAGGCCTGACCTCTGGCCATTTGCTGGACGGAAACTTTCATGAGTCGGGACGAAACTTTTAACGCCCTGGGGACGTTTTCTTGTCTCGGACGTTTGGCGTGAAAAGAATTTGAGTCGCTTTCGGCGAACTGCAAACTGCAAGCGTCGACGTCTTGTGTGACAGACCACATGAAGCAGCGCCTCTTTAGTTGACCTCTTTATCTGGACAGCGAATCACAAAGTGGAAGTTTGAGACTCGGAAAGAGGCTCACCTCCAAGGCAACGCTGCAGTGGAATGATTGAAACGGACCAGTCAAAGTCCAGACTTGGAAAATGAATCTTCAGAGGATCTCCATCTAATCTGACTAAATATGAACTTAGTCAATAAAACTGATATTCAGAAATTTCCTTGGTTTTTTCCAGAAAATTTATGAGAGATCTCAAGACTTCTGAGGTTTTTTTTTTAAGGATATTTGTGACTCTTTAAAATGCTGAAATTTTCACGTTTTAAAAAAATTTTCTAGAACATTTCTAAAAAATAAAATTTTTTAGAGATTTTTTTTTTAGCATCTCAAATGTTTTAAACTCTACAGAGACACAAGCAGCGGTTCTTTGTCGTTTCATCATTAAAGAGGATTCGTTGCACATTAGAGGCCCTAATCGCCGCCTATAGTCTCGCCCCGGGCCCTCGCCCACACGACCCTGCTGAGTGCAGCGCTTTCTTTGTGTCGCCTGAAAGAGCCAGGGATTGAGCCCAAACAAAAACAAAAAAGTTTTAAAAAAAGAACACACACACACACACACACACACACACACACACACACACACAAGGGTGGAAAAATGTTTTTACACCCTGCCTGCTCCCTCGCAGGCCGGGCCGCGCGGGCGCACAGGGCTGCTCTAGCTCCGGATCAACGGGTCAAATTATTGGAGCCTGGCCAACTCCGAGAGCACAGAAAGGAAAAAGCTGGCCTCTTCAAATGCTCGGGTTGCGCAACGGCGTTTCATCACCGTCACCGTCCACCTTCAGCAGCAACGAGGGATTGCTCGGCTCCATGGAGGGCGAGGCCGGGGCGGCGCGGAGGGGAGGTGTGCGCGCAGGGTTTTGGGAGGGTCGCTGCAGGCGGCGCTCCGGTTCCGACGTGGACACGGCGGTGTGTCTGCCGGCTCGTGATGGTCGCTGGGGTTTTGACAGGCTGGATGCTGTTGTAGTGCAGATATCAACCGGGAATTGAGGAAAATTCTCCCGTTTCTGGAGGGGAGTGGTTGCCAGCGGGGGTTCAGCGCCTCCTAGAGGGAGAAATGAGAAAGTGCTCTTTCAACGAACCACGGCGACAAACTGCATCCCGAAACCACACGATGCAAGTCAACCAAAGTCCTGAAAAGCTGTGATCGCCAGAGAAAGACACTTTTGGAATATTTCGTTCTTTTAATCAGTCTTCAATCTTTTTCACATTTGTTTTGCGTAAATGCTGCCTCATGACCTTCTGATTTTAATTCTTGGGTTCCCCTCCTCCCGCCCCCCATACAGACGGTTCCTCCACAGCACGTTTCCGTCTGTCGTTTTCGTTTATTTCGCGCCACTAAGTTATCCTGAGGTGCAAAGCAGCTCCGTGTGTTTTATCAGTCAGAAACATAATAAATGTTTCCAGAGGTCACGAAAGGTCAACCAGCCCCTCCGAGCCCCCCTGACTTTTGCTAAATCAAACACAATTGGTGTCTGATTCTGCTACGTCTGTGCTGCTTTTGTTCTGAAGATATTTGTGAAAGCTCAAAGGTCAACCAGACTCTCTCCCTCACCTAACCCGAATCAAACGAAATTGGTACCAAACGTTTGTGCGACCAAGATATTAAAAAAGAGTTTCCAAAGGTCAACAGGAGACACCAGCACCCCTTGTCTGTGGTTGACCTTTCCAAAGGTCAACCACATGGACATCAGTTTGGTTTGATTTCATAAAAGTTGACCTGTCCTGACCTCTGGAAACCTTCTTTAAAAAATAATAAATAAAGGCATAAATAAACAAGACATTTTAGCTGGACCAAGCGTTTGACACCAATTTTCTTGGAATGAGAAACTTCAAGACTCCTGAGGTGGAACAACCTGCTTCCTGCTCAGCAGCTTGAGAAGCTGGATGAGGCTCTCCAGGATGGAGGAAGAGTTCTGACCCGTGATCCGTAACCCTCGCTGCCTCAGCCGTGTCCATCCAGCACCTTGTGAAAACGGGACACGACAGCCAAGAAGGTCAAAACGTAAGAGGACCCCCGCTCCAACTTAAAAACTGCACCATTTGGTCTTATTTGTCTGGTTTTTCCATGATGAGTTTGAAAACATTTCTCCGTCTGCGCTCGTTTCAAATGAAAATCAGCGCTTTCTCTTTGACTTCCAATGATTCACTTTCTGCTAAAGCTCCCCCTGGTGGTTGAAGAAAAATCCACCGGGCTAAAAGCCGCGCGGTTCAAAGCGTGGGAATAAATATGGTAATTACGTCGGAAATGTATCAAATATTAGCTTCAAATAAGCTTGAATATTTTATATATTTTTGACCAACTTTAAATTTTCTGCATTTTAACAAATGGTTAAAAAATGGCCTTTTTTCAAAATAGATGTAGCTCTTTTAAATTAAATGAGTCATTGCCAACATTTAACACTTTACATTTTCAAAAAATATTGAAAGTGTTCCTAGATCAGTACATCTGTTTTCATTGTGTGGGTGCTTCATTTTCTCAAACCGTTTCTGCTGGAGGTTTCCTCTCCACTGTCACCACATGCATGCTTGGTATAAGGGATTGCTGCAGAATTGTCTCAATCCAGTCAACTAAATAATCTTGAATTTGTAGAAGTTCATTTTAAAATCAAGTAATTTTACAACTGAACAAAAAAAATTTCCACATTGTCCATGTGTACTTATATTTAAATGCATGAGTTGGGTTGAGGTTGGAAATTTTTGAAAAAAACAACCCCAAAACAAAGCCTTTGTTTTGGGGTTGTTGAAGAGAATCTTGTTCATTTTGTTGAAGAGAATCTTGTTCATTTTCAGAAAAAATAATTTATTTGTAAAAAAAAAAAAAAGTTTGTAATTTGGGTTCCATTCGCCAAATATGAATTAAAAAGAGAAAATTAATTTGTTTGTGGAAAGGGATTCTCTTCAGTTTTTTATCATTTCCAAACTTGTACCATTGAAAAGCAATTCCATCTGAAACGTTGCAAATTATTTTACTCAGAACATTTTTCCTAAGTTATTTTCATTAAGAAACTTCTAAAGCAACATCAGCGGTCAGACTTTAGAGTCTGAATTACAATTGCACACAAAAACTAAAGTGTTTTCACTTAAATGTGCCCTAAGGATGCAAATCAACTTCGCCGAACTTACTTTCATAATCCAAAACTTAACTACAAGTAAACATTAAGAAGTGATAAGTAAGCCAACGCCTGAAACAGCATCACAAACAAGTCTGGTTAGAAAAAAGGAAATCATTTATTAAACATAACCGTATTGGCAGAACAGCCCATACACATAGCATCGGATTCAGGTCACAATCACTCACTTTCACTATATACAGATAGGCACATTCACATTAGGCATTAAAGCCAGCCACAGCGTGTACTGCAGGGCCAAACCAGTGGCAGGTTTGGTTGTTGCCTCTTAGTCCAGCAAGGGGAAAAAAAAATTAAAATAAAATAATAATAATAATAATAATAACTGGTTTCCTCTGAAAATTTGAATGTTTGGGTTTCTAAGCTGCATGGAGCCACCTGACCAATATTCTCCCAGGGGGATACACCGCCATAGTGTGTTCACTGCAGACCCAGGCCTCTAAACACAGTCCGTTCTTCAGAGAACGTCACAGTTCGAGGGAAGCAGCGACTGGGAATACGCACACAAGGCAAGTTTGACGTAACAGGAGAAGCAGCCTGAAGTCTGAGAGTTTTAGCTCCACAAGAAAACAAAAAAAATATTTAAGAGACGAGTAGAAAAAAAACAAAACAAAACAAAAAAAAACAGTAACTGTTTCGAATAAAAAAATATTCAATGAATAATTTGCTACAACAAAAGTTCTTAATTTGCAGTACTAGACATCTATAAATTTTTTTTTAAAAAAACAAACAAAAGTCAGGAAAATGGGAGACTTGAAAAGAAGTGCTCCGGATTCAAACTATCCTCATCCTTCATGCTTCACGGGATCCTTCACCACCGCAGGACAGACAGCAGCAACTAATGGGTGAAAACGAGGTGAGAAAGAAAATGGCAGACGCAAAATCCCAACATAATAACATAAAAAGAAAAAAGGAATAAATAAGTTTTAGAGACACTTTCAACCCTGCAGGTTTGCAAGCTGCAGTTGTTTTTCCTGTGTTGACAATGTGAGATAACCAACCTGAATCGGACGCATTTATGACAGTCTGGGTTCGGTACTCTGGTAATGCTACATCACACGAGCGAGGGTGAACCAATAGACACAGCATGTTGGAAGGTAAGGCAGCCTAGTTAATGCAGAGGTTAAAAAAAACAAACAAACAAGAAGACTTTATAATACCACCTTTACAGAGTGTGCAGACACCTGAAGTCAAACAACACATAATAGAACGTCACATTTTTGATTTTCAAGCATTCGTGACCTCAAGGTCATCCCGATGACTTGGTTTCTTTTTTTTTACCTGGGGAAAGATAAAACAAACTAAACTCTGATTCCTAAAGACATTTCTTGAGAATGTGTCAAAGTAGCCCCTTGAACAAGCGTCAACGTAAGTCGATCGCTACAGAAAATGCCGTTCAGTTGGTCTTGAGCTGGCGATGCAAGTTTGAGCAAATGCTTTTCCTCCCTTCGCTTTTCACAGACAAGTTTAACCATCTGGACATTCTGAAATTAAGACAAACGGGGGATGGCTTGACCTAGTTTAAACTAAATAATCTGGCTCTGATATTTAAATTCTGCATTTCTGAGTTCCTCGTGGTGTCGATTTTGACCGTCTATTGCAATGAAAAGTCTGGTTTCCTCTGATGAGCTTAATAATTAAACCAGTTTTCTGGTACAGGCCAAACTCTGAGGATTCACTTGTTTAAAAAATAGCTTAAGAGAATCACGAAGCATGGAAATTAGAGATGCACCAAGAAATTGTCTGGTTGCTGGAATAACAGGCTGATTTCACTCATTCATCGACCCCAAAGCAGCCCAAAAAATCCATTCTTTTCCCAGGCAGTAAACACACCACATAAAAACCAAGCAGCTCTTTTGTGTGGAAGCTGTTACCGAATGACATAATGCGGCTTTCTTTAAAAAGAAAAGTAGTCAGAGGAAGCGCAAAGGATGTTTGAAGGTTCTAGGAAACATTCCAGGTGTTCACTGTTTTAGCAATGCTAACAGGAAGCTAAAGGTATTGCAGAAAAGTTGCACTTTATCGGCTTTATCGGCTCAAGCAGGAAATGATGGCCCCCTAAAGTAAAGTAGGTTTAAAATGTAAACTGATGATGTTCTATTTGTTTTCAAATAGTGGAATGCTTTGACCGCAGAGCTGTGCAACATCGGCTGCTCTCTCCCTCACATGGTGTGACGTCACCTCTGCTCCTGGTATAAATAATTGATGACAGAAGACGTCTTGTTTGCTCTCTTGAACTGTAAATGAGAAAACTATTTAATGAAAACATACCGGCCTTTTCTTAGACATAAGTATGGAGAATTAACTTATTTTGAATGCAAAAAATGTATGTCTTTCAAGATGATGCGTATTAGATGTTCAAAATTGAGAAAAAAATAAAGAAAAATAAACAATTAGACTGTCAATCTTTTTAATTGGGTTTTTAGTTTATAGTTGCATCAGGCCAAAAAGCCTAAAATGTAGATATTCAGTGAAGGTGAGTGCAAGCTGTGAAACTGTGGCCCGATTTTTCTTTTAGACATCATTTTATTTTACGATAAATATGGTGTCAAGAAGTAGAAATTAAGAAATAAACATTGTTTTTAAAAATAGATTTTAAAGAAATAATTAAAACTGATATTGGGTTAGAACTTTCCAAAATTGGATGTCAGAAACTGGCCACAAAATATCTGATCAGTGCATCTCTAATACATATAAAACCGTCTCTGAGTGCTGGATATAGCACACTGTGCATGTTTTAGCACTAGAAAAACCAGAACAAGTCATATGCTGTCAGTGTATTGATGAGTTCTAGTGTGAATGCATTAACAGTAAACCAAGTGGGATGAAAACTTAAAAAGAAATTGAATTAGAAATATTTTAATTAATGTTTGATGTTCTCCTTTGTATAAAACCGTTTGGGGAACGCCGACCGGCTCCCCTCACAGCGTTATGAGGGAGGAACCAAAATTCAAACAAATTTGTTTCAGAATCGAGAAAATTAAACTCAAATTATTGAATGTGGACTGAACTTAAGCTGGACGTCTTTAAACGTCTTCCAGACTCGTAACCGGCTGCTTCAAGGATCACGTTTCCCTGTGGGTTCAGGCTGCGGTACTTTTTGCTTTACTTTCTCCATCCAGTGAGAGTGAAAAGGACATGAACGTGATGAGGGATTTCCTGGTTTCTCTGAGTGGCGGCCTGAGGAGGCGGTGACTGAGACATTCCTATGTTTGAGCTGCTGGCCTGAGAACTAAAATCTGCACGTTTTGAAAACGATATCCTGATATCCCTTCACATCCACACCGTCCGTTTAACCTTTTTTTTTTTTTTTTTTTGGGTCGTTGATGGTAAGAACAAGCTTTGGCTCACTCCGTTTACTCGTGGCCATCTTCTAAAATAAACAAACAAACAAAAAAAAATCAAAGGCTTCGTCCTCTGACTTCCTGTTTGAGGCAGAAGTCTGGGCCGCTGTGAGCTTCCTCTGCTCGCCGTGGGCGTCCCTCACCAGGAGGAAACAGTAAGTCACTAGAGTCGGTGAAGAGACGAGGAGAAGAGACGGGTGAAGGGGACAACGTACGACTAGATTACCCCGAATGCTCTTGTCGGGTTTCTGAACGGTAGTCCGAAAGCGGGCGCTACTCCCCTCCGGGTCCTTCGCCGCGCTCCTCCTCGTCTTCCTCCCGGAGTGGCTTGTCTGTGTAAATGTCTCTGGCCAGGAGGACTCTGGTCAGGAGGCTTTCGAGGATCTGACGCTCCAGCGGAGTGGAGCTGAACCAGACGGGGTCACCGGGGTCGCGGGCCGGGTCCGGCTGAACGTAGAAGACGTCTAGGCGCTCCCATAACAACGGCGGACTGGACGGGAAGGACAAAGGGAGGAGGGGAGAAGAGAAGACAAAACGGGGTGGGAGGATGAAGGAAGGATTTGGGTTTTTGGGTAGAAGTGAAGAAGGAGAAGTTAGAGGACAAAACAGAATCTACTCCAAAAATTTGAGAAACTAAATGGAGCTACTTTCTCAGTCCTCATCTTTGACCAGTCAACATAAAGTTCAGGATGTGAACAGCAAAGAGTTTTAATCACAGGACTGACCAGGTTTTACTGGATTCCATGTTTGTTCGATCAGATTTTTAAGGCCATTTCTGTCTGTGTTTTATACTGGGGGCTCTCAAATTCTACAAAATATGTGAAGAAATAACTTTTAGAAAGTTTTCATATTTTTATTTTTATTTGTTTAGCATAAATACCACCTCAAACCAGAAATTTCACAGGCAGCCAATCAGAATGTCAAATAACATTCAGTTATTTTAACTTGTATTTTAAAGTAATTATTAAAATATATTTGATATTACAATTTATTTTTATCCGCTGCTTAAAGTTGTATTATTTTTATTGTTGCAATTTTTTTCTAATTTTTCCTCAAGTCCCCCACTTTGAAAAAGAGTAAAATGAGATTATGCTAAATAATTGTCATTTTTCAAGTTTTCTACTTTAACTTTAAATCTCGGTTCAGTGATTTAAATGGGAATTTGATTTTTCATGCTGCAGCTAAAATACATAATTACAACTTTAAAAATAAAAGTGGTGCATGAATTAAAGTGTGTTTACCACTTGGATCTGTAGAGCTCATAGAGACCACACTCCTGCTTCTTTACTGGGCAGCGGACAGGCGGGTGGCCCGTCTCGTTTTCATCCCGTTTGACCTCGGTCTGCTTGCGCTTCCTCTTCCTAGATTCTGTCTGTGCTTCACCTGAGCATAAAAATACAGCGTTGAGAAAGAAAGGGCAGTGAAATATTGAACTGATATCTCTGGCAAAAAAGGAAAACACTCAAGGAGAAGCAATAAAACATGAAAAAAATAATATCCTGGCAAAGATATCCAAAGTGTTAGTTTCTTTGAATTTACAACACACTGCAAAACCTAAACTTTTGTATATTTGGTTTAGTTTCTAGAGCAAATATTTTAGTCCTCTTGAAGTAAGACAAAACTAACTTAAGGAATTAAGAAAATAATTCCTTAATGTTGATGAAAAAGTACTAAAATCTGGTAATTTTTCACTTGTGAGATGGAAAAAAAATGTCTTGTTATAAGTTCAAAAAAGAAAAAAAAAATTTGCCAGTGGAGCTTGTAGATTTAACCAATATTAAGACAAGCTCTGATATATTGCTGGAAAGTTACTTGTGAGTTAGTTCTCTGTCATTTCAAGTGTAAAAAGATATTTGGTAAAATTGTGTTTTTGCAGTCAAGTACATAACACATTTGTCTAATTAAACAATCATATTCTAGAGGGGAAATAAACAATTAAAGGAGTTTAAAGGAGTCTTAAACCAGCTGTTAACTTGATATTGCCACCATGTAGATTTAGTAAAAGAAAAACAACAACGAAACCCAAATCATCCAATTTACCGTGGTGATCCTGAGGGATGGAGGGCACGCGGATGCAGACGCTGCGCTCCTTGCTGACAGGATGGATGGTGTCGGGCCCGTAAACGTTAGCGAAAGAGAGGCGCAGGTGCTGCTCCACGGTGCGCAGACCAAAGTATTTGGTGTTCAGGTAGACCAGCGAGCGGAGCAGGGAGGCCGGACTCTGCTCCCCGAGGTGCCGGCCGCTCCACAGGCTCTGCTCCTCTACCCGGCCCCACAGCGAGCCTGAACGCAGCACAAAGCAGCCGGTAACCATTACGAGGGACCTACGGTTACCGTGCGACAGACTAAGAAGCCCCTCCCCCCCGCATGTCCTCATACAACTTCAAAAATGCAATCACAGAGCATCAGGATGTGAACAGCAGAAAGGTTATAATCACTGGACATGACCCGCCGGACGCCTCTGTGCGGCCGGCCGCTGCTGACAGGAACACCTGCGCCCTGCCATGCTGCCACTTCACCATGTCACTGTGTTATCAGTGAGAGATGATGTTGTTTCCAGGCGCCACGCAGAGATGCAGCTTCACATGTTTCACTGATAGCCTCTGCCTCGGGGATGTGGAACGCATTTTCACGACAGGCCACATCAACATCACGAATGTCTTCAAAGGAGCCAGAATGTGTTGATAAAACCAACTAAACGGTTCAAATATCTATGAACAGCTGTGTCTGCATTCAATACTTCTCAAAATGAAACATTAATTTAATAAGATATTAAGATTAAATTAAATTACAAGACAAAAGTCAATATTACAAGAATGAAGTTGAGTAACTTCATAATGTTATGGGAATAAAGTTGTGATATTACAAGAATATAGAGGTAATATTCTTGTATTATTTAAACTTAATTCGAAATAATTCAATAATACAAGAAATGGGACAACTTTGTCCCATTTCTGTTAAAAATTTGTTATGATCTCAATTATGCATTACTGCAAAAAAAAAAAGTGCAGGAATTTTTTTTGATTTGCGTAATTTTCTGCGATCGTGGAATTGCAAAAAACTGGAGGAACTGATTGATATAAAAGCTGCTTTGATTTGATTGATAAAATGATATTTAAGCACAAAACGTCTCTTGAAGGATCTACTCATTCATCCTTCTGGAGTTTAGAGGCCGCATAGAAAGAAATGGTGGGCTGGATTTGGCCCCCAGGCCCCAGGTTTGACACACGTGGTCTAGCTGCGTTTAAAAACTGCTGCTAATAGTCACTTTAAGGGAGTGACAACAAAAAAAGCCCACACAATTTTCCAGCAGTAAGATTTGGTGTGCCGGTTGAGTTCAGCTCCTCTTACCATCAGGAAGCACACTGGGCTGCCAGTCTTTGAGCACCTTGTTGAGCTCCTCTCCAAACTGCTGGTAACACGGGTCGCTGAACAGATCATCCTTCCGGCCTTTGGTGTGTAGATGCTTCAAACAGAGAGGGGAAAAAAAAAGCTCATCAGAACAGAGGACAAACATGGAGACCTGTCTGCGGACGAAGCTTTAGTGTCCTCAGAAAAAAAAAGGTCAACATCACAGTTGGTCAGGATGTGAACAGCAATGGATATAGTCACCGGACACAACAGCAACTTAGGCTTACAGAAATAACATCACCATATTTTAAACAAAAAGAGGATAACTACAAGTCCGAGACGAAAACATTTCAACCAAAATACTCTAGAAACGTTCAAGAAAACTTGAAGCAAAAAACCTCAAGTCAGATCTCACTTTTTTCTGCCAGAAAACTCCAACATGGGATGAGTTTAGATAAAAGTGTGCTCCTCTCAGCAGCCATGATCTGATCCCCACATGGGTGAAGAGGAGGGAAAAGGCTGTGCACCACCGAAACCTGTCCTACTGGAAACACTCACCCTAAATTTGGTTCCTACCGCCGAAAACAGAACATGTCAACAAAAGCCTTTTTAATGTTTTACACTTATTTTCAAAATTGTAGAGTTGAATTGTTTACCCTATTTTATTACAGTTGTTACTAATAGAGCCAGCAAAATGAGGAAAGTTGCTAATTTATACACATGATCAGATTAAGTATTTGCTGATAAAGATTGCTTAAAAAAAAAAAAAAAAAAGATCCTTTACTGATTGTGTAAATGGCATTTTCTGGAGTATATAAATAAAAACAATGTCAGCATCAACATATTTTCACACACAAAAAATATAAATCCTAAAAAAAAACAAGATAAACTACATTACAAGCAATCAGTAATGTTTTAAAAAAGAGTTTGACTTTGTTGCTAGCCTGCAGAGTAACAGCATTTTATTTTATAAATCTTGAGTTTTCCCTTCGTCATTTTCCGACCAATCGGCTAAACCGACATGAAGCTCTGCAAGTTAAGAGTTTCATATTTCTCGAAAAGTAAAAGCTTATAGAGAGAAAACGTAAAATGTGTGTTGTTGGTAAAAGTGAAGCTATGAATGATTGTTTTTTGTGGACTAACCCAAAAGCACAACTTCGGGAAGCAGAAGAGTCTACAGCACCGGTGAAAGCAGTCGACAAGAAAACAGCATTAAAAAGGTTTTTCAGCACAATTTACTCTAATTTCCAGAAAAAAACCCCAGAGACCTGTGCTTCATCATGGATGGTTAGTGCAGGAGGCGGATCAACCAAATGTTTTTTGAATTAACCGTTTATCTTATCTGGATGTCGTCAGTCATTTTGACAAATTGCAGTTCATGTCCGTGACCACTAGGTGCAGACACGCAGACATTTTCAACTTTACGCAACACAAAAACATCCCAGTATCACCTTTGACATGGACACTGAACCAAATGCTTTTTGGGAGCCGACATCGCTTTGCACAGTAACCTCTGGGTATTTTTGTACCAGTTATTTTTGCTCAGTGGTTGAAGCTTTGCGGGATCTGGTAGTAAACATTTCAGTGCACTGACCTGCTGAATTCCCAGACAGAGGTAGAGGATGCTGTCTGGAGAGTAGCGCTCCCCGTTTGGCCGGCACGCCTCTCTGACGAACCGGGACAGAGCGGCGTTCAGCTCCTCTGCGTTCAACGACAACAGGTTGCTTTTCGACCGAGCTGCAAGACACGGAAACACACAGAGGCTCTTATTACGAATAAACTCTGGAACAGGGAGGGAAAGCGAATCAATATCATCAAAGTAATGCATGTTGTCTAAAGTCAGACGTCTTCAATAACTGCGTAGATTTCTTGAGGTTGTAACAAAATCCACCACCAACCAGGAAAGTTCTCCAAGCCTCTAAAAGTGTTTATGTGTCAGGGGAGGGAGAAGCAAAAGGGGAGGTTACAGCAAAAAGCAATAAACATAAGTGAGTTAACTAATTTTCTGACAAAATAAACTTAGGTAAATGACATGGCTCTGATGATAAAGCACTGGGCTCATCATCTGGGAGGTGATATCATAGTTGTCGTTTGCTGAGAACAAGTTCAAGTGCTGCTCCAAAAGATTGCAGTCCCACCATTTTGTTACGCCAGTTATTTTCATTCTGTGTCTACAGGACTGTCGAGATGTGCTTACAACAAAATAACCATCGTCGTTAAGCGAATAAATCCCACACAGTAGAGAAAAATCCTGTGAAACAAATTCAGAGTAATGATCCCCATGCGCTGTGAAAACAGCCTGGATCCAATCTTTGACTATATTTCACACAAATGGTCGGGATTTGCTTCATCAGCTATTTTATTTTTGGCTTTGGTTGTGTCTGGTTGCTATTTCAATTTTAATTTGTTGTTTTTGGTCGTCGTGTTTTAATTTCAATATTTAAAATGCCTTCCAGTTGCAGCTTTAAGTATTCTTTAAAGTTTATTGGTATTTGTGGAGGTGAACTTGCATTATTATGTCACTGTAAATATAATCTTTGAAAATGGTCTCAAAACAACAATATTTAAGACAATTTATCCTCCAGCAAAATTTGTTATCACGACAGTAAAAATTCTGCATTAAATATACTTTATTTAAATCTTAGTTTATAAGCCACGTTTATGTAGCTTTGGAAAAATATAAGTTTGCTTGGTGTCCCAACCAAACCCGGTTTAAAAACTGTAAAAGAAAAAATCCCCTTTTCTATTCTCTCCACAAATTAAGTTTTTAATCATTTAGATAAAAGAATAAAGGTAAAAAAAATCTACAGACCTTTCAGACTCATGTCTTTTTCAAAACCTTATCTGGACTTGAAAAATAATAATAAGTAAAACTCCATACTCTTAGGCCAAGCAGGGACCTTGTTTAGTTACGGATACCGTTATTTTCCAGTATAATGAAATCCTAAACTTAATTCTCTGAGATCTTTAAGAAATTAGGTTTTTAAACAAAAACACAGTTGATTTTGAATTTTGCAGTTTGGAAGAGCCTTTTGTCAAACGTCTTTGTTAACGATCATGAAAAACAGTCTGCAACTTTTTATATTTCGATTCAAATATAAAGTTGAATCAAAATCCCACATTGTAGGCGTTACAGAACCGAAGCTGACATTAACATTAATGTGGAGATGTTAAAGTTTCAACAAACGTCCTGTGTGTAGGAGTAAAGTCATTGAAATAGACCAACATAACCTTTTTCTTTTGGTAAACATCAGCTTATAAACTATTCATTTCACATCTGCATTCTAGTTTTTCATTTACATTCTCCTCCAACAGAGTATGTCTGGACTCAGCTCACTTGGTTTGGAGGTATCCTTTTCTTTGGTGTCTTCTGATTGGTCAGAGAGGGACAGCGCCCAGCGTTTCCAGGCGTTGATGCCATAGCGAGACTTGAGGGGCAGCGATCTTCCTTCCAAGTTGCTGCTTGGACGTGACGGAGAGGATGAAGGCAGATCCTCCACGGCCTGCCTCTTACTCCCCTGTAACACAATAGTTGCATGCATTTAGAGTCATCAGGCTGCGTGTTGAGCTGGAGGATAACTCGGTTGCGTGCACGTGTCCGAACGCACCAGTCTTCTGGACCGAAGTCGAGGCGCAGATTCCTGCAGCTCCTCTTTCTCCTCTGCCAGGACCGGAGGCAGAGAAAAGCTCATGTCCTCGTCCATTCCCTCCAGCACCGGGACAGGATCCGACGCTGAGGACAGTATGCACAAAAGATCAGCTGAATTATTCACCAGTTTGTTTAAATATGCAGAAATGAGTTAAAATGTGGAACCAATTAGGGAAATCCTAAGTCCTTCTTGACACTTCTCTCTAAAAGAGCCTAACAGTGAGGCCTAATTGTTTTCCCATCATGCTGCAGGCTGCAAACTTTTGGGTTTCTACTCTGCATCCCCAGAACCAAAACTGGAGAAGCAGCATTCAGTTCTTATTCTCCACTGAACTTCCAGAAAACTGAAAAAATGCTCTAAAGTTGATTGATATATTTTATTTATATTTGCTTAATGATTTTTATGATGATATCTGACAAAACTTAATGTTTATTGCTCATTTCCCAATTGGTGACTGGATGATGTTTTTGTTACCTACAGCTCTTTGAACTTCTATACAAATAAACTTGACTAAAATTTTGTCTTTCAAATTCAGGTGACAACTACAGCTGCGCTTCCAATGACTATATAGCTGGAAACACAATTTGACATTTCAAAAGTACATTTCCTCAATAAAAAAATGGCAAAAAAAATAAAAAATAAAAAAATGGCTAAGTTTTGCCACCAGCATGAGGTTGTTTTTTTTTGGCAAAACTGCAATGCAAACATATTTTTTGCATCACATGACTAACAATTTTGCATCACATGACTAAATCATCACAATCAGACTAACAATTAAGAAAAAGACAATAGGTCTTTTTCTTAATTGATCGGAGGACGACAGCGCTACATATCTTTTAAGGACTTATCCTGTGAATAAAACGCATTCAAAGGATTTTAGTTGCTTTTCTTATTTAATGGAAACACTCCATTGTGAAGTTGTTTGTTTGACATTAGCAGGACATTCTTTGCAATGGCTGTAATGGAAATGCAGCTATTAAAGATGGGAGTCATTTTCAACAGAGCACCAGATTTTCGGTGGGAAAATATCTGCTCTCAGCTCCATTATGCAGATCTTACGTTTCTGATCAGATATTCAGTTTTCAAAGGCAAACCCACCACAGAGGACAAGCTCAGCATTAAGTACAGCTGAAGTATTTAGTGTAATAGGGCACACTTTGACATCTATCATTAAATACATTCCAGTTATTTTGTTTTTTGCTCATTTACAAATCTGTTGTTCTGTTATAAATAATGCTACCTTCTAAATCAAGAAATTTGTGGTGTATGAAATATTTTGACTTTTTTCTCTCCTGTATGTGAGCAATCAGGGACTAGCTGTCCAAGATAACTCAATAAACCTTTAATCATCCTGCAAGAAAAGTTTTTCACACCCAAATATAAAGCGAGATGATGAGACAACTCCAGCACTTTTCCAAATCCCTTGACAAAATCCAACCCTTAAAAACATGAGCGTCGACAGTGCTGGGAAAAAAAAAAACCCACAGAGGGAGAAATATTTGCCTCAGCTGTTTTACTGACAGATTCAGATGGCGCCAGATAAAAGCTCCATTAAGAGACAAACTAAAACAGAGACGGTCAGTGAGAAGATCATAAGGGACCTGGGTGACAAAGAGATTTCATTTTTTGCTAACAGGATGAGTCCGAATAAACAAACAGGCCACAATGTGCTAAAGCTTGAGTTCTTCCTCTGCAGATAAAAATGTGACACAAGAAGTGAGATAGCAGAACAGAGAGTCACGGTTCAGATTGAGTTAAAAGCGACTCCTAGAGCTTGGCCGACACCATGATGGTGACAGAACGGTGTTTTAGGTACGATGTGTTGATTGCTGAACAGTTACTGTCACTGGAACCCATGCAAACTTGGAATTGTGTGAATTATATCTCTATGGTTATTAAGAATGTAACAAATGTATGAATGGTTCCTATAAAATTCTAATAAAAATAATGTTTAATAAATAAATAAATAAATAAGTCTGAGGTAGAAAAGTCACAAACTAACATATTCCAAGGGGTGTGAATACGATTGAAGACTCAGTATGTTGATGCAGCGCCGGCCCGGCAGTCAGGACGGTGCTTACTTTGAGGGAAATCCGCCTCCAGGTCCAGGTCGGGCTCATACTTTTCCTCCTCCTCATCCTCCTCCTTCCCCGTTTCCTCTTTTTTGCCGCCACAGCTGGAGGATTCCTCCTTAACACTTTCTCTTTTCACCACCAACGGCTTCACATCTGAAACGTTCGACCAGGCAGACTCTTACTGTCGACACTTCCGGCAGGTTTTATTGAGCCGACTCGTTTCTGAAGCGTCCGCGCTTCAACAAAGCCGCGTGCGACTCGCCGCATTTCGGCAGACTCTCACCTGGTTTCTCATCGTCGTTGATGATTACAGCCGCCTCTGCGGTATTAGAGGGCGCCTCGCTTTTCAGATCTTTCATGTTGTGAATAATCTGTTCTGCCCCCTGCAGCGTGGTGGGCAGAAACACAGGCACAGGAACCTGGAAGGAGCAAGATTTAGGTTTTAAGAAAATCGGAACGCCTTGAATATTTCCAATTCCAGAAGGCTTTATTTTTTAAATTTATCCTTCTGTGGTGTCCAAACATTTTACCAGGAGGGTCAAAATTGTTAAGATGAAAGCACTTGGGCCACAATTTTTAATATCTTTTGTAACATTCTTTAAAAAAACATTTGTGGTGCCTTTTTTATTCAAGCTCCTCAATAACAAACTAAAAAACATTTTAATCAAACTTACAAAATTGTCAGATTTTTTTATTGGTACATTGTTGCAGAAGCAAATATAAAAAAGGTCTTGCACAATTTGAAGTAAAGTTTGCTTTCAAGAAAAATTAGGTCGACGTTTGTGGTTCCAGTTACCTAAAATCTAAGATGAGTGGAAAAAAACGTAGTTAATAAATGCAAAAAAAATGTTGTGCCTAATATTTTTTAGGAGGATATTATTTATCTGTTAAAAAAACCCAAAACATTGCCCTAAAACAGGGGTCTGAAACTCCAGTCCTCAAAGGCGGCTGTCCTGCAGCTTTTAGATGTGCCAGAGGTACAAAACACTGGAATGAAATGGCTTAATTACCTCCTCCTTGTGTAGATAAGTTCTCCAGAGTCCTGCTAATGACCTAATTATCCTATTCAGGTGTGGTGCAGCAGAGGCACATCTAAAGGTAGCAGGACACCGGCCCTTCAGGACTGGAGTTTGACACCTGTGTCCTAAAAGATGAAAGTGTCCATCTGAATCACCCATCTATGCTTTAAACCAGATTTGCTCCAATCTACGAATCAGCCGCCACAAATTGTGGCCTCACTTTGGACCCCCCAGTCCGAAACACCTTCAAATTAATATGCGAGTGTGTGTGTGTGTGTTTACTTTTAACAATAAATGTGTTGATGAAACACGGAGCTCACCGGTAGAGGCATAGAGAATGGAGTGGGGGTGACCTGGGCGTACATGTTCATAGGCATTGGGATGAAGACGGGTACCGGGATGGGTACGGGAATATACTCCCGCTTCACGCCGTCATCCACATCTGCAGACAGAGAAATCCCACAACACAGTGTAAAGCATGAGGAAATCAGTTTGAATATAAATATTTCTATTTTTCCCCCATACCAGATTGTTTTTTTTTTCCTTATTGCTTTTATTTTCTAAAAAGCGTCTTTTTATTCCAATTGTCCCTTCTGTGAGTTTTATTTGTTTAAATACAAGAAAACAGTCAGAATATTTTCTTGCACTGGAAGAATGTTTTAAATTTGAGAAGTTTTAATTAAAAAAAAATATTTTTTTTATATTTGGAGTTCTCATAAAATTACTACTTTGTTCTATTAATAATAGGACTTCACTCAGGTAATAACACTTTATCCTTGTATTATTTTGACTTAATGTCATACGTCTTTATGTTTAAATCAAACAAAAAAACAAAACATCTTAGCTTGACCCCTTATATTCCACTGTAGAAATACATCAAAATGGAAATACATAGAAGCTGTAAGGTCCGCTTGCCAAACAAGATGGCGGCCGTGGGAGTGCTGACATCACTCTAAACCCGGGGTGTCAACATCCAGTCCTGAAGGGCCGGTGTCCTGCTACCTTTAGATGTGCCTCTGCTGCACCACACCTGAATAGAATAATTAGGTCATTAGCAAGGCTCTGGAGAACTGATCTACACAAGGAGGAGGTAATTAAGCCATTTCATTCCGGCAGGTTTAATTGAGCCGACTCGTTTCTGAAGCGTCTGCGCTTGCTTTGTTGTATTCCTGTGCCACATCGAAAAACTGCAGGACAGTGGCCCTTGAGGACTGGAGTTTGACACCCCTGCTCTAAACTATGGAAACCCAAGAAGTGTTTTTGTGGGGGGAAAAAAAGCCCAAAAAAAATCCTAGATTCTCAAAATATTCAATCTTCAAAAACCAAAGAAATTGATTAATAGAGCAGCCTCACAAAAAACAATAATAAATAATTGTTACTTTTTCCCATATTTTGTCACGGTACACCAAAATTTAAAATAATTATAATTGACAGATCACAGTAGCTGATATTAACTCAACACTTTGCAGAGTCCCATTTTACTCTGAGGACAGCTGCAACCCTTTAGGGTTTGTGGTGGCAAAGTGACAAAATGAGGGCAAAGTTCGACTGGCTGCATCTGTGCTGCATTTTACCCGTTTGTAGATGTTTGCTCTGCATGTGTGGCTTGCAGTAGGTGGCTTTGGTCAGGGTGAGCGGTTTGCACAGCACCGCCTTATTCTTCACATCTCTGATCACTCCTCCACTGGAGTACGCCACAGCACTCTGGTTCACCAGCTGAAACAAGAGAGGAAATGGAGCGGTTAGCGTAAACGGAAAACAGCACAGGCTAGTCTGCAGGTAGGCCGGTCACGACGACAAACTGAGGCAGTAATTACTGCCATAAACAATAACATTGTGGTTTGGAGACCATTTTTAGACAATAATGGCATAAGAACTCAAGTTCGTTCTCTCAAAGGCTAATAAACTTTAATTTTGCAACAAACACTTAAGACTGGTACGCAAAGATATTTTAACAATCCAAAATAAAAACACGACAAACCAAAAGCAATAAATGAAACAGAAATAAAAAACACACAACCAAACACATAAGTAAAACTGATTACGTCTCTGTAAACAAAATTGCTCTTCAAGAAATATACATTGTTTTTATTATGCCATTAACTGATTAATTACATATTGCGACATCTGCAGGTGTGGAAGGTTTGAGTTGTCTTACATTACAAATAATTACATGTTCTCAGGTATTTAATTTTTATTTATTCATTCTTACTTACCCCAGCTTTTGCGGCATGCATGTCTATACCTATAAGAAGGGAAAAGAAAAGATTTCCACAAAAAGAGTTAATTTTGATCAAATGAAAGTACATAGAATAAGAAACTTTATGGTCCAGAGATCCAGAGATCCTGAGGCAGAACAGTTTGTCGAAAGGCTTAAACTTTCCCTAAAAACAGCCAAATGTATTAGGGCTGAAACCATCAATCAGATTAATCGTAATTAATCAATTATTGAAATAATCTTCAATTAACTTAGTAATCGATTTCATCAATAACTGGAGTACACAGACTCTAAATACTGCTATTTGCTGAAAGAACACACTCAGAGCCAAAACTGTACAGAAAATATATACAATTTGCATTTATTAAAAGAAAATTCTTGTCTGCCCAATCAGACTTGATGTATGCATTTCTAATATTGTATGATTAAGTGGCAAAATGAAAAATCTGCAGAACTTGCTGTTTTTTTATTCAATTAATCAAATAATTTCTAGAATAATTGATCACTAAAATAGACAGGAAGTGGCTCCGTCCGTACCCAGCATGGTGTTCTCTGGTCCCTTCTGGGTGACCATGATGGGGTCGTTCTGCTGGCAGTAGAACCTCAGCAGACACTCCTGGTCGCAGAAATGCTTCATTTCTGACCTCCACATCACCGACTCCGTCAGGTTTCCCTGAACCTTACAGCAGTCGCACCTCGCCGCCTGGTGGCCAAGCAGAGGAACGTCAACACCCGCGTCTTTTTTTCCCCCCGTTCTCCCCAACAAATATAAACCACCTGTGAATTGGTTTGACTTTTTTTCAGGAGAGAGCTGACCTTGTAATACCAGTCGTTGAACTTTTTGGCACAGGCCTCGCTGCAGAAGTCCCGGGTCATGTTGCCGAGCTGCCGGGTGATACCTCTTTTGCACAGCTGGCTGCAGTGGTTGCAGCTCACACATTTCAGCCCCAGCCGGTTGATGAAATCCTGTTTAAACAGCAGCTTGCAGCCTGGAGGAGCAGAAAACAAATATAAAACAGTAGCAGGGTGAAGAAAAAATTATTTTACTCAATTTTTAATCACTTTAAATTAGGAGAAAGGAGCTGCTTAAGAACCAGACTTCACTAAAGCAGCTCAGAAAAACACTCAAATTGTACCTCCTTCAAGCTCTCAAGGAAAAGCTGCATTCGTTAAGTGTCCTTGAGGAGAATTGGGGCAGTACCTTCACTGCAGAAGGGCCTCTTGACACCAGAGAACTTGACCATCTCATGAAGGGTTTTCTCTTCTTGGCAGTACTCGCAAAACGTCACGATGCAATGGAGCTTCTTGTAGTCCTCACAGCATGTTTTACTGCAGAACTGATAGACCTTATCCTGAAAACACACACACATTTATGTCAATATTACTGCAGCCATTTCAGGTCCAGATTAGTTTTTGTGTCATAAACATACATTTTCCCCCTCACATCTTTAAATTTGCATAAGAAAAATGATTGCAAAGTTATTTTGTAGTGACTGGAAAATGCTTTTAAATAAATATTAGTATAAGTTGTTTATACTTTAAAGAAAGAGCTGGCTCATTTTTAGCAGTTCTACTTTTAAAATAGAGATAGAAATGCTTAAATGAAGTGAAAACTCATTTATCTAATGTCTGCTAGTTGTTCCTTTGTTGTCCAAAATAAGGTCCGACAACTAGTGGGGTTACTTTGGGACATTTCTGAAGGTCTGACCTGCCACTCAAGAATTTCGGGCTTCAGGCTGAACGCTCCTCGGCAGTAGTTACATTTCAGCTGGACAGAGCTGTTGCTGAGGGGCGTCTGACCATTGGTAGTTGTCGGAAGGGAAGCGTTCTGAAAAGAAAGGAGGAAAAAACCCCAAAAGATCAGGCGTAAAAACTGTGAAATTCTTGAAACAAAACAAATTGACTTCATATGGGGCAAACCTGCCTTTATAAATAATGGGTCAATTTCTTGAAATGGACAGAAATGAACTCCTTAAATATGTTACGCTGTGCTTACTGAATCTGTGTAATAAAAGTTATTCTTTGGAATATATAAACAATTTCACTATTAACAACAATCTATTTTATTGAGCTGCAACAAGAAAGTAAAAACCCAAAGCGAACACACAAACCCATAAAATAGAAATATGTTGTTTTTACAATCCCTTTTCCTTCTCTACTAAAGAGCTGTTTTACTTTTAACCTACTGCATCAACACAGCAGAAGGATCTTTTGTTTTATGATCTCACCTGAAACTTGGTCACACATTGGGAGCTGCAGAAGTTGAGGATGTCGCCCTCTGGCAGCGTGGCCTGGTACTGCGGCAATGAGCTTCTTTTACAGAAATGACATGTGGGTTCCTTGTCTGCAAACAGACACAAACATGTACAAAAATAAAAACTTTTTCACTGTATTTTTATGCCTCTCTTCATACATACATTTATTTTTATTTTTATTAATTTACTAATCACAAATTAAAAGCTGTAACTGATTCATGAAAAATGACAAAAAGCAAAGATACAGTAATTCCTCCTGTCTTCTCAATTAATTATACAATGTTTCAGAATATCAAACCAATTTAAATAGTCAAAAGAAACACAAGCAAGCAAAAAAATTAAGTTCTTAAATGAATGTTTAAGGGAGGAAAGATTCAAAATCTCCCTGGCCCTGTGTGAGAAAGTGACCGTCTCTTCAGAAGCTAGACATTAGATTGAGATCCAAAGAAATTCAGGAACAAATGACAAAAAAAAGTAACCGAAATGACTCTGGAAAGGGCCCCACAGCCGTTTCTATGGCGTCGAGAACCACAGTGAGAGTCGCCGTCCACACATGGAGAAAACATGGACCAGTGACGAACCTTCCCAAGAGTGGTTCCCCGACTAAAATTACCCTAAGAGCGCAGCTATGACTCATCCAAAAGGTCATAAAGACCCAACAACAACATCCAGAGAAGTCCAGGCCTCACTTGCCTCAGGCCAAAACTGGTTCCAAGTTGAAAACCACTACTGAGCACAACAAAGTCAAGACTGGGCTCAGTTATGGGAAAACTTTCAGAGGACCGACGAGTGACAAACTGTAATCTTTGTGAGTTTGTGCCCCGTTACATCAGGCGTAAAGATAACACCATGTCAGCGGTACAACATGGTAGTGGTAGTGTGATAGTCTGGGGCTGTTTTTCTGCCTCCAGACCTGGAAGTCCTGGTGTCATAAATGGAAACACAAATTCTGCTTTCTACCCAAAAAAACCCACAAAAGAGAACATTCAGTCATCTGTAGATGACGTCAAAATGAAACTAACTTTGGCTCTCCAGACACACCAGCCTCCTCACACATCTCTGGATGGATGAAGAAGAACAAGATGAAGACTTTTGGAGTGGCCTAGTCAAAGTCCTTACCTAAATGCTATTGAGATTACTTTTAAAAAGCTTGAAAACAATCCTGAATTAGAACTATTCTGGAAAGATGAGTGAGCCCAGCTGGAACAGACTCACTGCAAGTTATCACAAACGTCTGACTGCAGTTGTTGCTGCAAAGCTTCATTAGGCTCCCTCAATAATAAACATCTTCTTTTAAAACTGCATTTTGTGCTAACTTGTGTTGTCTTTGACTAATACTTAAATCAGTTTGTTGTTCTGAAACACTGAAGTGAGAATCATGTAAATAAAAAAAATAAAAAAACACAAAATCAAGAAGGAGGCAAACAATTTTTGACACCATCATTTCTGAACATAGAACCAAGCATATTGATTCATTGCTCATTATTTATACTGAATATGGAACAAATCCATGTTCTCCACCGTCACCTTTAAAAACAAACTTGACGAACTGGTGTTGTTTTACATCAGATGTTGAAACGTGGAATTAAAACTGATCTTAAACCAGTCTGCTTTTAATTAATAAAGTGTTCAAAAGTTTGTAAGATCCTGATAAGTGTGCATTCTGATTAAAGATGCAGCAAATCGACTTTTTTCACTTCCGATACCAATATATGAGGTTCATCTGCAAATACCAATCTGATGCAGAAAAATACTACTGAATGAACTTTTTCAGACAAATGTACTGAATTACAAATTTATTTTGATAACTCTGCGCCAATGATCAAATAAATACATCACTTTAATATGTCAATAGCTTTATAAGTGTAGTCAGACATGTAAAAACAAAACAACTTTTAATTTGTTCAGTCAGTACAAAGAGCAGCATAAGAACAATTGTAAAGTAAATAAGAAACTAAGACAATAGATTGCCTATCGGTGCAACATGTAGAAATAAACTTCAACAAACTTTCTTTCAAATGGTTCAGAAAGTGCAATTAGGAATTCTAAATATAATGTAAAATAAATTATGACGTCACTATGACGTCACTGAAATTAGACTGACCAGATCTGCCCCTATGGATCGGGCTGCGACACCTGATCTAGAATTATTTTCAGTATCAGTATCGATACTAATATCGGAGCGGTGCGTCTCTCTCCGACTACTCACTGATGAATGACGTCAGCTTGCCCTTGTTCATGCAGCTGACGGAGCAGTAGGAGCTCATGGCACTGCCTGCACCGAGGCTTTGGAGCACCTCCCCCGTCTTGATTAGTGTTTTGCAAGTCATACAGCTGGCGAGTTTACTGTGGGCCTGGGAGGGGAAAAACGTCATGTCAAAACAAGATGCAAACGGAAGCATTGTGATCCCAAAAAAACCAACAACAACAACAAAAAAAAGAGACAGCAGGGTGGCGGGTGTTACCTGTTTGTAATCCCTGATGCAGTTCTGGCAGCAGAAGCGTTTCTGCTGGCCGTCGACCAGCAGGAAGTGGTTGGCCGACGCCCGGCTGGGCAGATAGTCGCCACACTGTTCGCAGCAGTTCATGATCAGCCCGTTGGCTTTGCGGTAAACATTGAAACATGTATCGCTGCAGATCTTGTGGGTCACGTTCTTAAAGCTGACTTCATGCCGAATCTGGAAGACAGGGAAAATAAAAACTCTCACAAAGCAGCAGAGAAATAATAATAAAAGGGAAAAAAAAAAAAAAAAAAACGGAGTCTCTACGCAGATAAACTTTAATCTACATCACTTAATGGTTAAAAAGTTCTTCTATGGTAGAATACGCATCAAAATGAACAAAGATCAGAATTTGATCTGTAGAGAGAAGACAGGAAAGAGCGGTCAGTCAGATTGAACTAGATTACACCGAGACCAGATGAGAATAACGATAGACGAAAGATGAATGCTTCATTATGTGAGGGGAAATACAATACGGCAAAGTTGAGATTAATAGCAATATGACGGATACGGTTTGACAAGAGAATGATGACTGGAAGACAATGCAACAGGACTCTGCCATGTAGCATGTCATAAAAACAAACAAAAACAAAACTCTCAAGTAGAGTCATGCCAGAAAACTGAGGCCATGCTACAGAGTAATGAAAGATGCCATGTATGGAGCAGCATGAGAGAATTAGAGTTTCCTCTGGATTGGTTTAGCAGCTGTGTTTTTACAGTAGTGGTGGGCGATACAGAGTTAAAAGTTTTATTGCAATATTTTGTGGTACTATTGCGATAATGATAAGAGTGATAAGAACCATTTATTACTTCCTTTATTGGTAACTGTATGTTCGTAACTGTGTGTCACAGCAATTATAGTCCCACAAATACAAATTCTGCTCTTGGAAAAACATTCCCATTTGTAATATGCTTCTTTTGGACACCAGTCCACATTTGTAATGGAAACCAAGCTGGTGACACACAGCACTCGAGACAGGTACCACAACAAGTTAAAGTAAAAAAAACAACATCTAAACAGTGAAGAAGTTTGGTTTTCTATATCCAGAAAATCCGACCCGTAGTATTATTATTTGACATTTAATGCCTCATCCTGTATGCTTGATCTTCCTCCTGCTTTTCTGAATACCAAGGAAATACTGTGGTTTAAAGAGACAGTGGATGGACAGATCAGTTTGTCTCAGGATCCCGACAAAAGCTGTCCGAGGATCAATAGCTTACTTTGTAAAAGCACTCGATGCCTGTGAACGCTCTTTACTGTCCTGAGTGGAGTGAAAAATTACAGATTCCAGAATCACCAACTTGAGTTTACAGGGAGTCCCGCAAACAACGACCTATAAATCCCAAACTGCAGCCTGTGTTTAGGAACAAGGTTTACGATTTCCAGTAAAATTGCAATTGCAAACGCAGCTCTACCGGGTACATTCACGTCTTGGGAACAAGAAGTAATAAATGAATGTATGAATAAATAAATAAACAAGATGTTGCGGTTGCTGGACAGACTGACCTCTGTGAGCTTCCCGCAGACGGTGCATTTGTTTTTCAGGCCTGTTTTAGGTGGGTTGTTCTTGTTCTCGTACGCGCCCAAGCAGCCGGTCGTGCAGAACTCCTGAAAAGACTCGCTGGAGTCCACCTGGGCCACAATGGTGCCCTTAATGTGTGTGATGTCCCTGTTTAAAGAAAGAAAACAACAAAGAAATCACACACAAAAAATCTACAGAAAATGAGAACCTAAAACGAAAACTTGTGTCTAAAGGAAAAGTTTGTCATGCGCTTGTAACATGCGTTTTCAGGCATAAAAAGAGAAAATGAAAGGCTGACTTTTTGCACATGGTGCAGGTTTTCTTGGGTGCAGGTTTGTGTGAGAAGGCAGAGAGGCAAGTGGTGGAGCAGAACAAGTGAGAGGAGCCTTTTCGCTGGTAGGCTGTCTGGCCTTTCTTCAGAGGCTTTTTGCAGTTGGCGCAGGTCACCTGGGAGGTAAAAATACAGATTTAACAGAGGGAAGCTTTCCAAATGTAGGGAAACTACACATTTGTCATTGTGTAGTTTCAAACACTCAAGTTGCGTGTTTGTCATTTTTGAAGGCCAATGTTGTTTACAATGCATTTTACTTATGATTTTGATTCTGTGTAGGTTTTTATTTTCATTTTATTTACTGTTTTTGTTTGTCATGTTTTATTTCGGATATTTAAAATATCTCCCAGTTCCGGTCTTAAATGTTCATTGCAAAATTTAAGTGTTATTCTTTGAGAGGGCAAACTTTAGCAATATATGGCATAATAATACAATATATATTGTATTGTATTATACCTGTCTACTCATGTCTTATGTTGTTTAATTTTTTGTCTTGTTCCTCATCCAAGGAAGGGTTTATACTGAAACTAATCCTTTCAGTATAGTCTCAAAACAACAATATTATCATTTATTGCAGCAATTATTGGGACAATTTATCATCCAGCCAAATTTAGCATTAGGAAAGTGCTTGAAACATTATTTTAAAGCACTTTCCTATAAAATGGTCGATTTAACACATGTGACTGATCGATCCCCACACAGCAGGACCCACCTTGACTGTCCTGGGTTGTGTCTGGGAGCCTGAGGAGGAGGTGGAGGAGGAAGACTGGCCTGCAGGCTTTGGCAGCGAGGTGGCAGGCGACGGAGAGTCCACCCCGCTTTGCTTCTGGTTCCGGGGAACCGAGGCCGACTGAGAGATCCACAAGTCTACAACAAGAGGAAGAAGGAGAGGAAATCTTACGTGGTTGCACTTTTAAAATAGCTCATTTGGCATTTTTATTGGAAACCTAGGAGGCAGAGAGAGGCTAAGCGCAAAAGTGGCATATTGAAAGCTGCTGCGAAGGTCTGAAACATTCAGAGAATCCTAACATTAATAAGGATACATCCTACAAAAACTTCTGAAAGGCTGACTTAAACAGCAAACAAGACATTTCTAAAATTTTAAACAAAACTCAATCAATGATTGAACTGAAAGAAAATAACTAAAAACAACCAAAACAATAAATCTCAAAGGACTGTAGACCATGTAAATCATTTATTGGGAAAAAAAAAATTAAAAATGGAAAACAAAAGAAAAATCAATAAATGATGATTAATCTGGAAATATTGATTTCCACAGTCGTGTGCAGATGTATAGGAAGCTGCAGTAAAAAAGCAGCTTGAAAACTGTAAATCATGACAATCTGGATGTAGTGGTGTGGTGCTGCTGCTAGACATACTGGTCAACCAGAGCCAAGTAATTCCTGTCCTAAGCAGATTCCTAGTCTAGGATTAAACTGCATCTGTTTAATCCTCCAACTCCACACAATTACCCCCCATGATTTATGAGAAATGTCCATACAGTCGGTTTAAAAAGACAAAATGTGTAGATAATAAAGAGCCTTAAGGGGATCTACGCAATACAGACATTATAGCGTACAATACCTGCATAAATATCCGTCATTTTCCCAATATGAAAGCTAACAGGGATCTTTAGTGAAACAGGGAGCAAGTAGTGCATAATTATGAAGAACTGGAAAATAACTTATTTTCAAAGACAAAGCTGTTTAAAGGCTCAAAATTTTAAATTCTCAATACTGAAAACCCAGAAATTTCACTCCTTTAACTTTCAACAGAAGTCTTAATAAAATCATTGAAAATGTATTAAAACTTATTCAAGTTGTTCTATGTCCAATGTTTTTCCTCCTACTACATACATTGTGCTTTTTTTCCCCAGATAAATCCCCCATCCCCTCCAACAATAAATCAAAGTTTATGGTTGTAATGTGAAAAAAATGTGAAAAGGCTTGACTACTTTTGGGAGGCGGTTTAGTTAGTCCGTTACTCGTCGTGTGGGTTTCAGATGACACCAAGGACGGCAGCGGGAGGCTTTAATTCTTCATGAGTGCTGCTAGCTGGCCCCATCTTCCAGCGACCGAATCGACAGAGGGTTTTCACGCTCACCCTTCGCCTGACAGGAAACGGTTGAGTCCAGGCGTTACCTGCTCCTTTGTGCGTCCCCGTGTCTCCGTTCTGGACCAGCTGGCTGGCGGAGCCTCGGCCGGGGTTGAAGGAGGCGGTTGGTCGAGCAGATGGGGTGTCAGGATTCAGACTGAAGGCACTGCTGATCTGCAGACCGTTCTCCTCTGTCTCGTTTTCATCCGCCTGAGGACAGATGCAGCAGAGGTTACGTTTTTTTTTATGTTGTTGTTGCTTTTTCCCCCCATTCAGCAGAAACATCGAAAGCAACGCGATGAAGAACCAATGACATATGAAGGACAACGTGACTTCTGTGATGCGGAAAACGCGGACGGGGATTGTTTATTCGATAAACAAAATTAAATTAATGAGAAAACGCAGAATTTCACAGAATTAGCTGATACTGGAGGAAAGGGGATGATGTACAGCAGTCTGCGTAGTATTTTGGCCACAGCAGCTCCTGTAGCCAGTTAGCTGGTTAAGCTGGGCTCTCCTCTCCACACAGAATGAACCGGTCGGCCATGGGAAAAAATAATAATGAAAAAAAAAATCCAAAGCGTTGACGTTTTCACCTAAAAAAAAGAACGTTTTCTGTACATTTTGTCATTGCACTTTGGCGTGGAGGCACCAGGTTACGACTTCTCAAAAACATAAAGAAGCGAGCTAACACCTGGTCACGTCTGTTAATTGTTGAACATTTAAATAAATCAGTAGACCTGAGAGTTGTAGGCGACTGTTGATCTGCATCCCAAATTCTGGGTTAAACTCGAAAGCCTCAGTAAAGGGGAAGTTTTCTTGTATTCCACTGAAAACTTGATTATTAGTTTTCCACGTAATGTTTGAATTCTTTAAAACAAATGAGGGGGGAAACACTTTAACACCTTGTAAAACCAATGTTCTGTTAAACCACAGAAGTTTGTTATTTTTGTGAAACCGACTATTAGTAAATGTGGAACTCTAGCTATTTGAGTTGCTCAATTGTTTTTGTTCACAACATAATTACATATATCTTGGGTTAATAAAACAAGGTGAAAGGGCAGTATTATGGGTTTTGCAGCCACACTGTGCCATTTTATTCCATAATCAAGTAACTATGGTAGCTTCGCTAGTTGCATGTGTATATAATATGACTTAAAAGAAATTTTCCTTCCTGATTTAACACCTTGAAATTGGGTCTTTGTCTCTCTATAAATTCCTGCTCTTCCTGAAACTCCGCCTTTAGGAGATTGTCACCGCATTTTTCCTCCATTAACCTTTTAGCAACGTTTAGACCAGCATTATACAGAGAAGTAGCTCAAAGAGCAGTTGCAGGTATTTGCTAATTGCTGCCGGCTAGTCTGAAGGAGCTGAATGAGGGGAAAGGTGGGGAAAGGTTGCTCAGTGAGGGAAGCTTGGAAACTGCAGCTCTGAGGAAGAACTGCACCTCGAAGGTGGAGCTAGATCCATCCAGGCGTTTTCTACAGCTCAATGGTTGGCATGAGAGAGTGGAAGATTTCTCAAACATCCATAAAAGAATCAAAGCAACATTCCAGGTATGTTTCTGATGATGGAATAACTTCATAACATAAAAAAAGTTATGTTGATTTGAAATTGAAAAAAACAAAAGAAATTCAGGAATAGAAAAACAGAAGAAGTGGAATTTGTAAAGTAATCAGACAGATTTCATATGGCCTCAACTCTTTGTCCTAGTCGCTCTCCACCCAACAGAATCGCTTCATCTCCACCTGTGCTTCCAATGCTAATCCTCACCTCTCCGACAGCCATCGCTCCGCCTTGGAGGGACGTCACCGAGGTGATCATCAGGTTGATGTCAGCCTGGGCATCGTCTGGATGTGGCGGCGTGTTGGCCGCCGAGCCCCTCTGGTTACTGGGGCCCAGAGTGGTGACGCTGGAGATCCTGATCTCCGAGTCCGGGTCGTTGCTGCTGAGTGCGGCGGGCGAGTGGGAGGCGGAGGACTCCCCGGGGAGTGCAGGTGAGGGGGAAGAGTTTTCTTTCTGTTCGCAGTCCTCCTCGTCGTCGATGACGATAGGCTCCGGGGCTGCGGTCGGAGGCTTCTGGGCCGCTGCCGTCGCCGCCGCCATGGAGGCGTTGGAAGACGGGGGAGAGTCGGGGCTCTTGGAAGGCGTTTCTGCTGCGTCCTCTGCCGCAGCGCCCGCATGCTCGGCACTCTCTGCGTCGGGTCCGTGTGGAGAAGAGGTTGCAGCAGCAGCGGCGGCAGGAAGCGGCTGGGAAGCCTCCTCCTCTACGAGAACAACGTCATCATCCTCATTGTCCTCTGTGCCACCCTCCTTTGTGGCTTCGTCTCCCGTTACCATGGACACCGGCTCCCCAGACTCCTCAGCAGGAGGTGGGGATGGTGGCTGGGAGGAGGGAGTGGCGTCGAGGAGCTCCGCCTTCTCCTCCACGTCCTCCGCCACAACAGGGCTTGGCTCTGACTCCCCATCCATCGCTAAGGCAACCACCTGGCGAGTCAAACAGAAGCCGTTTAGGACGCAATTAGGAGGCGGCCTGCGCCAGTAATAAGTTTTATAATGTCTGACAGCTGGACAGGTAGCTCAGGTATCCCCTGAGGTAAAACCCGTGGTCGCCATGGTTTCACCCTGTTTATGGGTTGAGATCGTTCTCCATTTCCCGCCCATTGAATTTAGTTGCACTAGCCCTTTAAAACATCCGTTGTCACGTTTCAGCTTCTCCTAACTCTGCGCTTTGACTTCAAAGAATCTGCGACATTTCTCTGGATGAGTCAAAATGCAGGTCTTGGCGTCGCCGTCGTGACCATGCGTGATTTAGGTCAAGCATTTCGATTATTTATTACAATTACAAGAAGCAAATGAAAAAGGGATGCAATTATTTACAGCTACAGCAAATATGTCATTAACCACTTGAGTAATTAACTTATTAGCAAAATTAAACCTGACAAAACCTATTTTAATATTTTCACAGATGGAATCTAAATTATATTACTTGAAATAAAGATGAATTAATTGGGTTAGCTTTTCTGAACATAACTTCCTTTCTTTAGCCGTATATTAGATTAATATCTAAATCATTTCAATTTAGTGTCATTTGTTAAAGCGAGGCTGAAGGACAAAAAACTTTTTTTGTGTTTAACAAACAAAAAACACCACAGATGCAACAGTGTTTCTGATGTACAGAGGAACAACCTGTGTAGAGATAAATAGGGAAATCATGGATTATTAAGTCTTTAAACAAAGTTGCCTTTAAAAAATATTAATGAGAATGAAAATTATCAAGCTCATTTCAACTTATCCTGTGATTAATTGATTAACTGCAACTGGCTTAACTGGGATGGCGCAGATTTTATCTTGACCTGCGATCCAATCGATGCCGCCACGACGATAACAGTTGTAGGAAGTAAACAGAATCATGACTAAGCAGTGACGATGTCTTCCTGCTTCGGTTTGATCACAAACAGATGCCTGATAGAGATGAATCAATCCAGCGGCTGGGAAAAGTAAAGGTCAATAGACTGAAGATGTATTTGACCACATCTGTTGATTTCAGGCCGATCGCAGATTACCGATCTTTAAAAAGCCTAACCTGCCAATGACGATTTTGGCCTATGCCAATATTTTTTGTCTGAAAAAGTGTTAAATATAACAAGAAAGTTGTCGAGTTGACAACCGTGGGGTGACTATTGTCAACTATAAACGTGCAGACATGACCTGATGGGCCGATCTATCAGTTGAATCTCTCTCACAGCAGAGCAGAAGAGGTCAGTGGCTCATTTTTAAGCCATGGCTGAGGTGCATAAGGTCGGCTTCACACGCATCAGCCGATCACCAATCTCCCAAAATTAAGGAAATCAGCATTGATAAATTGGCTGGTCGATAAATCTGTGGACACAAACACTGCTCTTAACAAACAACAACTCAAATAGACATTTTTCAAGATACCATTACATAAAGAATCGACATTATTCTCATTAAACATAACATGGTAACTGCATTTTATATTTTCTAATGTACTGATGGTTGTATGGAACAAAGAGTGGGAAAAAAATAAAAATAACCCAAAACAAAACATTTGAGGATTTTCAACATTAATTGGAATTTATTGTGAGGATAAATCCAATTTTCTATTATATCATAAAAATTTCAGGATAACTGGGAGGGGGCGATATGAAGGTACAAGTTTTATCACCATATTTTGCCACACTGTTGTGATAAAGTGACAATAAGAACTAGTTATTACTTCTAGTAATAACAAAGTAATTACTAGAAGTGCACTGTGTGCAAAGAAGTGACTGCACAGTCACTTCATTTAACTGTATTTTCAGATTGCATTGACATTTATTGATACTCTCCTTGAACAAGCCATGGCAAAAATAGTCAAATTAATCTCAACAACACAGAAAGTTGTGAGGGTTTCTGAACATATTTACGATAAATATTAGGATAAATGCCCACCTCTAATGCAGCAGAGCTACCTTCAGACAGATCCCTGCTCCAGCACACCTGCACCAAACGGAGGCCTTCTCTCACCTGCTGCTTCCACTTCTCCGCCAAAAAGGTGCTCACTCGTCGTCCTTGGCAACCGGTGAAGCTACACCTTAGTTGCCAGGGTGACGGTAAGGCCCACCGCCTCTAAAAGTCTGGCTCTCTGAGCGCGCCTCATCCGGGCGATGTTGATTTAGCGATCGCCATATCAACCAAAGTAATACATAACTTATGAGTGGAGCTTAAACGGCGAGGAGGACTCTAAAAACCAAAGATGAATGGCAGAGCTCTGCAGCCAGAGAACGTTTTGAGGATGTGCGCGGTGTGAAAGCTGGGTGCGTTTGTGTCACGTAGCAGTCGGGCTGGCTGCGAGCCCCATACGTCACGTCGGCGTTGACAGCTGCGGCGCAGAAACGCACATGTACACATGAACGGATGCGCTGGTCTTTGAAGCTCGTCATTCCCCTCAACAGACAGGAAGAGCCTGAGCGCACACAAACACATCTCCCGGAGCCAGAGCAGAGGCCAGGCGGCGCTTCGTCCCCAGTACCACAACATCCTGGTGGCCATTTTGATCCCAGCCACGGCTGCATCTCAGTGGGAGGGGGTTGAGGTGGGTTTGGGGGGGGAAGGAAGTGTCCGGTCACAAACTATTTTACAGCTTTTTTTTTTTTACTTCAGTCAAGCTGAATTTCAGCATGGCGGATTTTCTGTCGTTTTAAGTTCCTGATGAGGCGGGAGAAAATCCCCGTCCTGTTTTTTTTTTTTTCACCCCCAGATCTGAACCAGAGCCGGGTGCAGCCAGCGGATGACCCCCCCGGCCTCCCTGTGCAACGTCACATGGTTCTAAACTGGGACACATCCTACTTTAACTGGTGAAGACTCATCATAGGCTACCAAGATGTCAAGTTTCAGGGCATATTTTAAAAGCGACACACACTGTTTCTCCAAACATGTTCCTTTTTCTCTGAACTTTTTAAATTAAGGACAGGGCAAGTGAAAAGAAACAAACGTTTTACAACTGTTTAGCCACGCTCCAGGAGGCCCAGCACACAATCTACGTTTTAATGAATATGGATATGATAAAACCTCCTGACTGCTTAAATATCACAAAGAATAAAAGACGAGTCTATTGAGATGCACATAGCCAAGCGGACAATCTTTTACAACACGCACAAGAAAGTTATGACAAAAATTTAAACTCCATAATCAAACAGAACATTGTTTCATCGGGTTTTAAAGTAAGTAAAGTTTTACATTTAAAACTGCACTGAAAATTTACAATGTCATGTTCAATGTCAGGGCTGCAGCTAACGATTATTTAGTCATCAGTTATTCTAACAATTAATCAAATTAAAATCCTGCAGACTTTTTACTTTAACCACTTAAACTACAAGAAATGCATTAAAAATATTAAAACAACTAATTTCATTCCTTCTTTAAATAAAAAAATCAAAAAAAACATTTTAATTGTCTGAAATGCAATAACACAGATCTACTGTCATGCATGTTAACCCGGTAAAGCTAAAGGTTTGCCTTTTGAGGAGAACTGAGAAAAACATTTAGAGACACATTTTTTTTATTTTTATATTAAATACCAAATGTGAAAATTATTTGTATAGTTTTAGGTTAAGGCTTAGACTTGTGCCTCCACCAGGCTCAGCATTGTTAATTTATTTTAGGTTTTTCTTTTAAATTATTGCCTTTTTTTTAAGACTATATAGTTGGTGTTTAGTTATTAATCATCCACTTTTCCCAAAATGCGTAACTATCAAGTAACATTTTCAAATTTCATGTCAACTTTAAATATTTTTTTAACTCAAAAACATGGCGGCCGGCTGAATGACTGCCCTCGCGCCCCAAGCATCGGGCTTAGCAAGTTTTCCTGCCAACTAATCATGATTAATCATTTCAGCCCTATTCAACATAACAGAAAAAATAAACCAATTAAATGAAACAATATTTTAATAGCATTAATTAAGGCAAAAAATATGAAGTATTCAGCACTAAATTTTTTTTTTAAAAAAGCTGTTTTTTGTGTTTTGTTTTTTCCCAATAAGGTAGGCAATAAACTGGAAAAATAATATTTCCCATTATAAACATAGAATGTTTTTTTTTTAATGTGTAAAAGAGCTGGTATGGCAAATGTATGCAGCAGCATAGCTTAGTCTCTGTTTCTGGCAATTTTGCATCATATTTTCTTTGGCAATCCACCAGAGTCAGCAGGGTGGGTTGCCATGGATTCGCTGCTGCTGCATGTGAATCCGGAGCCAACAGTTGATTGGAGCGAAGACGGAGGGGAAATTAAAAAAAGTACCTTGATGGGGGCGGCAGTCGGTCTGATGCAACACAGTAACGGGGCTACCAGTCCGTAGCTAATAGCACGTTTACTGGAGGTGCACCGATTGCAGTTTTCTGGCCGATCACCGATCTTTAAAAAAAGCTTGACCTGCCTATATTGATGTGGTGATGATCCCAGTTATCTCAGAAAGATTCTATCAAAATATGGGCCAATAAAAGATTCTCATAAAATGAAGAAAAAGTCATTTCAGTATTGTCCTAAATGTAAACGTATATATTTGTGCTTTTCTCACAACTCAACAGTTTCAGTATAGTTTATAGTTAAACATGTAAATGAGCATAAATGAGCTGCCGGTTCAAAAATATACCAATTAACAGTTGGTATTATGTCACTGCGATAAAGGTACAGTGACGTTTTAAAATTACTTTCCATCCTCTATAGATTCTAGACGAAGTGTCAGGCTGGCGGGTTTTTAACCTCTATGGAGGAAGTAAAGCAGTGCTGCCCCTCCTCCACTTCTTGCTGCACCCAGCTGGTTAGCTGGCTGAAACAAAACCACTAGGCATTTCCCCTCATGTAGAAGAAAGAAACATGTTGCTATTTAGAAACACATTTTGTACAGAAATGTGAAAACTGTTACCTTATAATATTGTTTTGCAGTGGAAGGAATAACTGCTTGGTCTTCCATTTAAAATGAAAACCAATACAATTATACAATGCATTTATGTGTTTAAATGTGTTAGTAAGGTCTGCAGAAACGTTAAAACCTACAGTAATCGAGATCTGCTTTCCTGCAAAACACTGAAGCTGAATGAGGAAAACTCGCTGCGTCTGCTCACGTGACAGGAAGTTCACAGCAAAACAAAATGTCAGTCCCAGATCTTCATGTCAGATTTTTTTTGTGGCAGCTCCTAAAACCAGATTCGCTCTCAAAGCAGCTGCAAGCAGGAGCAGCATTACCTCCCATAAGCCAGAACACCAGGCTGATGTCATCAGACCACATGTGTTGAGGTAACAACATCTGTTTGCAAATGCCATGGTAATCGATGTTAAAATACTGTGGACAATGTGCAGCACTACTCACCCCCCCAGCCCCCCAAAGCCAAGCCGCAAAAAGCAATGGACGCCAGTCTTTTTTTTTTTTTTTTTTTGCAGCCTGCCAGCCTCATGAATGGGGGGAAGGTGGAGGGATGGATGAATCTCAGTGCAAAGCAGTGGCGCTCTGAAGGGGGAAAAAATAGACTGAGTTCAGACTGCAATGCAGAGCTGCGAGACAGTCTGCATGCACGTGGATGAGAGGAAAAAAAAAAAAAAACGAGGATCCGGGTACTAATGAGCTCTGACATGTAACCTTGCTCCCAACATCAACACCAGGTGGACAGAGATAAGGAGGGGCCGGGCGGCGTGTTACAGAGACCCGCCTCCCCTGCAACAAAACCTGCTTCATGGGAGCAAAACAGCGTCTGCGCCACATCACCATAGGTGCTCCTCTACCTTCCCAGCACCATCCGGCTTGCGCAGCGAGTCATAACACGGAGATACACAGCATTTGCCCCCCGTTTGCTCTAAAGAAGAAGAAGACAGCATATCTTATTCAAATCAAAAAGCGTGAGCTCATTATATAAGTATTATGTCACTGAGGATGTGATGCGTAATGCGCGGCCACCACAGCATCACAGCAGCTGATGAGTTGGGGTGAAAAGGAAAAATGTACATTGACCACAGGAAGGCAGCACGTAGCAGGATTTCAGGATTCCGTGTCCTTGATCATTTACCAGGACTTGGAGCGGCCACCACAGCGGCAAATGAGGTCCAGGGGCCCGGTTACCACGGGGGGGCTGTGGGGGACTATACCCCCCCTCCACGCTCCCGCTCCACTTCCACCCAATTCTCCTTCCGTTTCCCCTTTCGCTTCTCAGCGCTTTATCCTGTCTCGACTGGCCGATGACTAGAGCTGCTCCAAAACTTTGATCAAAGACAGTGAGGCCAGCTACCTGGGCTGCGCAACTCTTCCATAAATAACCCGAGTTGGAGGAAAAGCTAGCCTCCAAGTTGGAAGGAGGGGAGGGCGGGGGGTGTTCAGGAGAAAACGTGGTTCAGGGTGTTCCGTTTCCACCCCTGCCTGCCCTTCCTGGCGCAAACAGCCATTGGATTAGCGGTGGATAGAGGGGAGGAGAGCCGACACAGACTGCGCCATTGTTAAAACGCCGCAAAAAAAAAAAAAAAAAAAAAAAAGAAAAGAAAAAAGACGACAACTACTTGCTAAGATTGAAACGCAGGGAAGCAAATTTTGCACACAATACACACCTCGACACCCAGAAATAACCCCGTCACCCTCCTCCTCCCCTCCCCAAAAGAAAACCTTTGCAAACGCTTATAATCGCGCACACCCCCATCCTGTTGGGCCCATTTGTGCTGTCTGGTGCGCCACATGTAACAATTACACCAAAACCGGCCCGAAATTCCGCTAAAAACGCCAACATTTACGCTACCTGTCACGTTGGGGTTTTAATTGGAAAGTTAGCCTGCACATAGTCCACCCTGGCGCAATCAGTGGCAAATATACCGGCCTCCACTAGGGGCGCCCTTCCCCATTCGCTTCACATGAACTGCCTTTATTTATGTCATGCGCTGGAGATGGTAGACGCGAATAAAGCGCATTTACGTTGCATGCTTGACGGTTACAAAAAAAATCCAGGTGTTAGTCATTAGTCACGGAACCAGATAACAGCGAGCCCTCTCCCACCCCCTCCACACACCTCCCACAACCCCCCAGCGGAAAGCAGCACTGCCTGCTGTCCGCCATTAGGGAACCAACGGAACAATACTGGAGACTAGAGGCGGCAGCGGCCACAGTACGCGGAGCCGGGGAGGAAAGCTAGACAAATTAACTGTTTATTCAGTTCTCAGTGCATCTCCTTTGGTCGCTGTGGCTCCACAGAGTCTCCCTAGGAGCCCCACGGGTCCCCCCGCACAAGTTCCCGAAACTTTAATCAATTAGGCACGAAAGTGGGAAATAAAACCCTTGTGGGAAATATCCTTACCGGAGGAGAGCTCGAAACGCTGTAGCGCCACTTTTGTGCCTTGACATTAATCCGAGAGGGAAGCGCGTGCGCACTACGCAGAACCCTTCACGTTCCTCGCAAAGATCGTCTACAGCACAAGCAGCTCACTCCCCGTTGAGTGCGTGGTCTCAGGAGGGTCACGGTCCAGAGATCACGGTCCAGAGAAGTCTCTTCAATTTTTGTGTTTATTATGAAGCAACATTTCAGACCGTTTCTCCGATGCAGTTTATTGTAATTTTATTTGCTTCGCCAACAGATTAACTCAAAACGTGTCCAGTTGTAATGGCAACAATTCGTCTTACACAGTAAGGACTCAGGGACATCACTATAAAGCCACATACTATTTTAAACCATTTTTAGCAAAAACCGCTGAACACTTTCCAGTTTATGGCGATCAAAGAATGAAGCAGTTATTAGTGGATCAATGGAGTGCAAGGTATTAGAATTGAAAAGGATGGCACCGTCCTGTACCACATCAAAATATGTAAAGAAACATTCATCATGGTTTTTCTCAAAAAAATTTTCTCTATCCATAAAAAGATGAAGATGTTAAATAACATTTCTGTAAACACTTACATTATGTAATAATTGAATAAATAGATTTATGATGAAAGATATTTGTTATTTTCTGATTATAAGTTGATTCTCTTCTTTTTTGTTCGTGCTTTTCAAATTTCCCCTCCAGTTTTCTGAGGTCCCACCGGCGCCTCCTGGTGGCACCCCATGGGGCCGCGGCCCTCATTTTTGAAAAACACTGGTCGCAACATTTTCTTCTTCCAACAATTCTGTATAAAATATAATTTTTCACCGATTTTATGTAATTTTCAGAAAGCTTTGATTTTTGAACAGCCGCAGGTCAATTGGCATATAAAACGTCAACAAAAACTGATGCAGAAATAGAGGCAGAGTGAACCCTCTCACACACGTTATCCTATCTGAAGGGCTATTTTTTTTTCTTCTTTTTTTTCTCTTTTCGTTTTTCCTCAATATTTCTTTCGTCCGTCGCGCAAGCGCGGCAGCGGCGGCAATCAGCGGTATATGGCTGGCAATTAAAACGCGCCATTACGTTAATTGCATTTTATCGACGCATATCATGTCTCGCATGACAACCGACTCCGCAGTTCAGCTCGGAAGTGAGCGTTTATTAAAGTTGGAAAGCTGTTTTTATTTATTTATTTATTATTTCCTCTCTCATAGGTAAAACAAGTCGCTGCGCTGCACTGAGCGCGCGCGGGTCCAATCAGAAGCAGGGATCAGGGTTGAGAGAGTTCATGTTCTCAGCTGTGTTGGTCGGTACGACGTCGGGTTTCCCCACTAATTTCATCCAGACGTGTGCCAGAAACCAAGAGGCCAGGAAAAGCAGTTAATAACCACAAAGACCTAAAAATAATAATAATAATAATAAAAATACCACCTTCTTAATTCGCGCTAAATATAAGACAGGATGTTGACAAAAAAAATGCATATTCGTGCGACAAGAACTTCTCTCTGATCAAAGCAGATCCGTTTTGAGTCGCATGATGGCTTTTATTGGGGTTAATCTGGCGCGTTTTGTGAACAGATGATGGCAACATGGCGGACCAGGTGCGTTCAGATCTCTCCGAAATGCGCAGACCTGATTTGTGCCCTCAGATGACGGTGCAGGAAACGTCCCTGGTTATGCGGCCGCACACATCCCGAAAACGCGACACCTTTTTTCCAGAGAGCGGGTCCAGGACTCGTTTTATTAGTTCCAAACCAGACACATGGAGTCGCTCCCGGGGTTGCCAGATCTGCCTATTGTGTCCTGCACAAAATGTCAGAGATTTCCGCTTGCATACGTGCGCAAAGATAAGCGCCCTACAAATTTGGATGAAATGATAATAGTCTAACACCGTGTGTGTATGCCTGGAAGAACTCCATATGCAGAAAGCATTAGACTTTACTCACGTGATTCATTTTTATTTGTGTTTATGTAAAGCAAAATATTATTATTAGGGTCCGCTCACATTAATACAGCTACATATAATTCAGTTCAGTCCTATCATTTGTCATAATCCAACATTCAGATGTGACTGTGATCCTAATTAAACTAATTTAGTTCACCTTATTTATGTGGGTGAACAGACTGGTTTATACTCAGAAATATAGAACCTAAGCTAACAAAAACAATTCAACCAATCAGATTTCAGTTAGGTTCTAGAACAAAAGTATTGAAAAAGGGCCATTATTTTCATCAGGTCACTTTCTCATCCTGTGAAAGCATGCAGCAACCATGAAAACTAACAACCTCCTTTTCACAGAGAGGACCTTCCTGCTTTCCATGAGCAGACAGATCAGAGACGACAGAACAAGTGTAGAAAAGAGCACAGTAAACTAGCACTGCATACTTTTATGTTCAAGCAAATATCCCTCCAGTCAGATTAATGTGCCACATTTAAAAAAAAAATGTTTTCAGGTATTGCATCAGGATTTTCTTTTATTTATTTATTTTTTTTAACTGGTACTTATTAGCTCTTGAAAACCTGAAAAGGTGTCACCGTTCAATATAACTTCCTTCTGCTAAGTTGGCTGTTAAACAAGTAAGCCTTTGTTATCTAGACCATCTCAGTTTTTCTGCATCACATGCGCTTCCTTTTATAGTGGGAGAGTACCACGCCTTAAGTAAAAAAAAAAAAAAAAAAACGAGCTTCACCTTAGCAGAGATAGAAAGAACCTTCTCTTATTCTCTATTGAAATGTATCAAACATCTTCCTCCAGAACCCGCAAAGATCAATGTCCAGGTTAAAAAAAACATCTTATTTTAACACTTTCAATGACAAAAATGAAGGAATGAAAACTGATCACTTTTGCAGAAAATTTCACATGCAGAAATTTTGAAGTCTGTTCAGAAATTCACTTTGACTTTGACTGGGCCATTCTGACACATCAACGTACTATGATCTAAACCCCTCAGCTGTAGTTCTGGCGATATGTTTTGGAGTTACTGGGGTTGATGAAGATGCTGCGCATATGCACTGTACACAAAGAGATGCCCCTTACTGTTTGCTGTTACATGAACGTAATTTTTAAAAGTTTTACCTCACTGAGAATGAGCAATGGTATTTTACTTAATAAATACCAAAAAATGGTAAGTATTTTTTTGTTTTGGAGAATTTTTAAAAGCTTTCTTTAATTTCAGAAGTTTACACACATCGAAGACGCTGGGTCTTGCACGATTTTGGTAACAACTTGTGTTGTCACATAGTCTGATACGTGTTAATTTTCAAAACTGGACAGATTGGAGAACAGCTGGAACAATGTACAACTTTATGGACACGTTAAAAGAATATTTCAGCTTGGTCATGTCCAAAATTGACACAGACACACCGCTAAACAGACTTTCAGCTAGAAGCGTCGACTCAGGAGCATTCAAAAATTAATTTGAAAGAAAATCAAGAAAACTGTAAATTGCTTTCCTTCCACTGGACTTCTTAGTGTTTGTCTTTCACGTAAAATTTCCATCACACCACACTGGATTTTTTCCTCAAAGCAGCCTAGTTTAAAAGAAATCTATGCTTCCAGGAGTTCCTGATCTTACTTTTTGCATCTATGACACCAAAGGGTGAAGGTTAATTATGCTGTTTGACTTTTTCCCCCCAAACACATCACATTGGACTACGACCGATCCATAGATGAGGGGATGAGGGGAATGGATTTATTTATTTCTTTTGCTTTTCTCAGTTGTTAGTTTTTAAAAGTGCAGAATCAGATTTGGAGGTTTTATTTTTATATAAATAATTCACTGAAACTTATCTTGAACATAAACATGTGGATTCCTTCCACAATCATAGTGCAATCACAAGAGAGATACATGACCAAGATACATTTTCACTGTTGGTGGTTTAAGAGCAGCTTTTGCTGCAGATTCCGCGTCCATTTTAGAATATCCAGAATTCCGATTGGTCCGACCTCAATATGTTTCCCCTGTGTGGTGGCGGCGAGTCCCGACTGACCCCAAATAACTCACTGTTGCCAACGTAAACCGTGTTTTTCCTCTCTCTTTTGATCAAATGTGCATCTGAAAGGGGGAATTGTTGAATCACAGAAAATCTTTTAGAAAAGCTTGAAATCATGTTGAGTTAGAAGCAGCTTTGGAAAAACTCTGCTCTGGTTAATTAGCATGCCCTTGTTTTCATATAAAATATGAATGTCCAGTGGCAGATAAAGTTCTGTTTGAGTGAGCAGAGATCAGACTGCCCCGCGCCCCTTCAACATCAAAATTCTTCCAGCTTCGAAAAGTGGAAATGGATGCAGGTCATCAAACCTCATTTTTTTCTTTAAGCAGTTCTTTTTAAGATTTCAAAGTTGCATTTTTATTAAAAATCCCAGACATCTACAAATGTAGAGAATATAATACATATTTGAATTAGATAGATGTATCTAATGTAACCTAATGTTGGTTTGACTCATAGCCCTTACATTAAGCCTCAACATGATTCTGCCATCACCATGCTTTACTCCAGACTGCTGCTTCAAAGAGAATATTTTAATGTAGGTTAAAAAAAAAAAAAAAGAAAGACTTCTTTTAGGTAAAAAAAGACAGAAAAACAAAGTCTGTGATGTGGATTTTTTTTTCTATTTTGCTTGTCTAAAAATGTTTTGGGTCGATTCCCGGCACCAAGAACTTTGAAAACAACACCTGTATTTGGCCAGGTTCACTTAGCTTTATTTTTGAGTAAAAGTTTTAGGTTATTTGTGGTCTTCATGAAATTAAAATGAAACCATAGGGGGGGGTAGGGGGGAAGGGTTAGATAGAAGAAAGAGTTCGAGTTTGAACATGTTCCATTTCAGAAAATACAACTTTAAAAAATGACATTTTGAGATTAATCTCAGAAATATTCTAGAAAAAGAAAGTTCTGATAAAAATACAAACTTGTGAGAATTTTTTTTTACAAATCTGTTTGTTTTTTTTTACTTTTGAAGCTCGGGAAATCTTTAAAAAGTCACACATTTTTTACTTTTGAGACTTGAAATTTCCACCTTTCTTCTAATATTTTGACTTTCCAACCTCAGAAATTTGAGTTTTTTTGCTAGAAAATTTGAAG